GCCCGTCCTGGTGCTCGGCAAAGCTTGATGCTCGGATGCTCCTTGCAAGAGCAGAGCTTGTCACACATAGCGGGTCCCTTAAAGCGGTTGTGTTTTGAAGGGTTCTCAAAAGAGTGGGAAAGCCCTTATTTCAACCAACATGTTGGAGTGATGTTGAGGATGTCACTGTAATGAACCCAAACCTGGTTGAAGGACATTTGCTCAGCTCCCTGTGGCAAACACAATCCGCGCCCTGCTTCTTCCCGAGGGTCAGGTGATTCCGGCTATAGGTCGTGTTGCCCTCGATGCACGTCGTTCGAATGAATTTGGCCAACGGCCGAAAATCCATTGGCAAAAGGATTCACTTCAAAAGGTTCTCCACACGTTTCCAGCCAACGAACTTTCAGACACGATTCCCAGCTCGCGCCCTGTATCCTGTGGTTGAAATCTAGTGAGCCCACGTCCTTCCAAAAACAGGCCATCTGGACAGTTGGCTGGGTCGTTTTTCCGCCCCCTTTTTTGCGGCTGTATTAAAGGCGGGTCCCAAGCAATAACAATTTGCAACCATCAACTTTCTTCTGTTCCGGGGGTGGCGGGTTACCCGTTTTCTTGTTGATTTTTCTGCTGCTTGGGGGGGGATGGTGGTTACCGCGATTGCCCCCGTCTCACGACCCACCCAATTTGTCCGAATCTCTCCCAGAGCCAGCCTGCTGCATCGCAGGCAGGTGATGCACGTGCTGTCAACCTTGGCCCAAACGGCTCCAACCGGTGCCAAACTGCTGGTAGGTGCTCCTTCTGAAGATTTACCAGTGCCAAGTTTTTGAGAACACTGACACTTGCAAATTATTACACGCTAATCATCAGAATCAACCTGAATCCGGTGCCATCTACGTTCCACCCAACTGACCAAACGCGGACATGCCTCTTTGTTTCAAAGGCTCTGACCTTGGTTTCTGCTTCTTTCATGGGCCATCTCTACCACTAGAAGGATATTGCAAAAACAAGAACACGTCCTTTTTTCTGCTGCCAAGTGGCCGGCGCCTCCCGCATCGCGGAAGAGGCAACTAGGCAACTCACCCTACCTTGAGCCAAGGGCGGCAGCTGTTCAGTCGCCAATCCTGAGAGTGATCTCGTAACAAAGATACATATGTGCACCTGTCAATATCATATGTGCATCTGTTTGTACATGTATATTATATAATATAATATATAGTCACCCGCCGTCCCCCTCCATGCACTACCTCTGTTGCTGTGCCTCACAAAAGTGCCAACAAAAACACGTTGATGTTCGTGGCATAAGGACAACATTGAAAGCACACTTTGCATTGCGCTAATTGTGAAAAATGCAAGAGCCCTGCAATTGTCGTCATAACAATTCCTTTAGCAAATGGGTAAGGGTAAAGCGTCGAACAAAACTCGCTGTATAGAAGCCTAACATCTGCAACCAACATGACACCAAGACAACGGGAGGGAAAACCAGGGCACCTTTGTTGTGGCAGCTAGACTTTAAAAAGGGCACCACACCCTTGTTGCGATCGCTGATTTTGAAGGGAAACGAGAAACTGCAGAGAACCTGCATCCCGAATCCCAGTCCCTGCCTCCCATGCATCGAATTCCTGAGAGCTGACTTGCAGGTCGGGTCTGGGGCCCAGGGTTTCTGTTAGCTACCTCAGGCCACCTCAAAAACAGGAAGATCCTCGAACTCAGGGGGATTTAGGCTAACCTAGACGTATTAAAGGGATGTTCAAGGGAACTCTTGTGTGCAAGAATTCTGCCTTCAGATCGCAAGCTGCATGGGTTGGCGCCAGCCGCCAAGATATGCAACTCTCCGCACAGATTGCCACAGGGAGGAAATCATTTGATTCAAGAGCCATAGGAAGGGGAGGCATTGCAGCCAGATTGGTATCTGTTGGTGCCACTGGTGACTATTATGAGCCATTTAGGACGATGGGCAAAACTCTCCAGGGCTACCCTCTTGAGTTCGCTCTGACTCAGTGGGGGGCAAGATGAGATGAGAGAAGCTCCCTCACGGCTTGTGTCACCCGTGAGCTGGCTGCATTTTGGGCAGAGTTACCCCGTGGCACGGTAGGACGCGACAAGCTCAGGTCGTCCCCCCCGTTCCGTGTGAGGTCCCCATAGCCTCAAACATTAATGTTAGATAGCGATTAGCCTGAAAAGCAAAAAGGGTAGGTATTACAGAAAACAAATCAGCCCGAAATCCCGAAAATATGTTCCCTTCCAAGAAGTGACTATTTTTCAGGGTTGAAACGTTTGAGTCCAACGCCACGCTCCTCCCAGTCCCAGCAGCTCCCGACGCTCCAAAGTCACCACACCAAATTCCAACCGCCAAATTCCTTACCAATCCCTTTACTAGAAGATACACCCTGACAATTTTTCAAGGGGGTGGCACACGGAACCCCCCAGGAAGGCAATAATGCAGTTTGTTTAAGGGTAGGGAATTGTGAAAAAAATCAGGAGATGGGATAAAACAGGAATACTGAACCAATACTAAGCCAATTCTAAACTGTAGTGAGTCAACTGAAAAGAATACTGAACCAATACTAAACCAATTCTAAACTGTAGTGAGTCAACTGAAAAGAATACTGAACTAATACTAAACCAATTTAAACCGTAGTGAGCCAGCTGCAAGGAATACTAAACCAATACTAAACCAATACTATTGCCAATGCTAAACCAATTCTAAACAATACTTACTGGAAGACTACTCAGGCAGAGGCTGGTCCCAGTCTACCCACATTTTGTTTTGGGGGTTTTTGCTATTGACCCCCCCCCCCCAATTCGTTTGAGGGGGGGGGCCTTTACTAATCACTCTCCAACATTGCCCTCAAAAGCTTTCTTTTTTGCGGCCGATTTCGACCGAATGTCCTTGGGCAAGCGGTCCAAGCAAGCCGCTGGCAGGAAGCCGCCCTCCTGTCGCGCGGGGCAGTCGCCGGCCGGACCCCTCGTGGAGCATAGGCGACCCAAAATGGACGACTTCCTTTTAGTGCCCCGTCCTTCGCGACCTTAAAACCAGGACACTAAGAAAAGACCTGATGCGAAGGACGGACACTAAAACCTTCGCAACTTAAAAAACCTAAAACCCCAAAAATGACACCCTCGCAAAGAGGCGCGCCCATGGTCCACACCAGGACTACTTTCCCCAGACGGGTTCCATCACAAGGTGAGGCTGAGGCAAACTTTGAGAACGATTCAAAAGACCACTCAACACCACTCTTGAAGAGGGCTGGTTTGACATCCACAAAAAGCCAGTGGCTGACAGCCATTCAGCCAAAAAACCACTCGGCAGGGAATTGCAGTCCCCCTGATCACTCTTCCACCAACTAACATGGAATCCAGCAGCAGGTTGCTTTTGGGGAACCCTGTTCCATGTTGGTGGCCGGGGGGTTCCAAACCCAGTTTGAGCCAATTCAGGAATTGGCAAGCCAGGTGTGGGGCCTTTCTTTTGCCAGCACCTTTCCAAAGAAAATAGTGAACTGCGTCGAAACCATTGCTTCGACGTAATCCCAACAAAAGCAAAACAACAGTGAAGCAGCCACATCCAGCCAAAAAGGAACTGTCACTCGCGATTATGGGGTTCCCTTGTTCCCGTACCTATGTCTCACTTCCTGAGTGGATTGGCCAACTTGAAGTTACCACTCAAACCTATGTCTCACTTCCTGATTGCATTGGCCAACTTGAAGTTACCACTCAAATGGTCTTCGTCCATGAATTCCTGGAGTGAGATGTTGTGCATCCCGCAACCTCACTGAAGAGCCCCTCAACACAGCCCATGCCGCCTTCGTGAGGCCGTAGCGCATGCAAACGTCCTCCACGCCGGAAAGCACCTGCGCGCTATCCAAAGTCGATGTCCAAGCTGTAAAACACACATTTGCCTTCCCAGAGGTGATACCATTGTAACCATTGTGGCTCAAATATGACACCGCCAATCCAACAACAGCACGCATAAATTTCCACAATGGGTCCGCCGTCTGCAGCATGTTACACCTTAGCTTTTGTGCCTCTGCCTCCATGCAACCAGAAGGTGTCTTTCCAGGTTCACTGCAAGAAGCTCTTCGACACGTCGCCCTAACCAAACCTGACACGAGGTCAACCTTTTTGGCGATAGTTGATGCAGGGGAAATAGGAAGCCCAAGCACCGCAATTCCTCCAGGACTTTCTAGTTCGATTCTTGCGTCCAACCCGAGCCCCTGGTTAGCCTTGTTCATACCCGAACCTAGCATGGATGGTCCTTCCATCACTGGTTAGTAAACTGCAAGGTCAATGAACGGATGCTCGATGTTGGCAAGGCCCAGCACCTAACCTCACGTCACGCCGTATCCGATGTTCTTCTGCACTTGGTGTCGTGTTACTTTGCTGAGCTCCGATCCGCAAGCAAAGACCTTTATCCCAACATGAGATTGCCAATACTCATGCCGTTCTCCTGGTATGTGTCAAAATGGGGGCAGTCCTTTTGGAAACCCTTCTTGAACCAACTTTATACTCAGCTTCGCTGTGATTGGTGGCCTGGAATCCATTTACCCTCCACAAGAAGCCCCTGCTTCAAGTCCCAAAGCCATCAATCCAAACTACCAATGGTCAATCTGATGTAAAAGGCCACCTCCAAAATTCACATCTCCAGCACGAAGGCCTTTCAGCCATTAGAAAGGACCACGCCTCTGCATCGTTACAGCGGCGGGCCTTATGCCGGGCAAAGTGTATGTGTCAAGGGGGGGCTGGGCGAGACAGGTTTGGGCAACAAAAATGAAGCCCGGCAGTTTTCTGGATTGATTGACACATACCCACGGAGACGAGGCCGAAGACACGCCAGCTTCTTTCCGGGACACGACTTTCAGGATGCGTTGCAATTCACCAAGAGTGTCATCAGTCCGGAAAAATCAAAACTCGCACATCCTCGCCGGATCCGTGCATGCTGTACCCTCACACCCTCTAATATCACCAAGGGAGTTTAGCCACACCCTGCCCATGAACCTGCATTGAAAAGCAGCGCTAGTTGCACTCTTGTACTTTGCCTCCTGGGCACCTTCCGTAGCCGCTCCCACCCTGCTCGTCACCTCCCCCCTCAGATGTTTAGCTGCGATGGACACCCTTCCAATTAAGCACAAAATGTGTATCTCATTTGGCAAAAAAAACCTGGAGAAAGGTTGTTGCCGTCGGATAAACCCGGAGGGCCTTTATTTTAAGGAAATGATCTATATTGGAGGGGGTTGGGACCCTGGATCTAACACTGGAAAACCTGAGATATGCGTTTGGATGCGCATGCACGGACCCTCGAGCCTTGCGCAAATCAGCCTGACCCTCCCGAAGAGGCGAACCATCTCTTCCTCCAAAGAGACGTCTCCATGAACCAGTGTGGGCAACTCGCGAACATGCTACCTGTCTGAAACTTGCATGGTTCTTGCCAGCCAGGGACTTGGCCAAGCTTCTCTGGAGGTCCGTGGGTCCGATATTTCGGTGCATGTCTTGCGGCCGGCGTTCGAAGAAACCGTCAGTTGCCAGGCCCCAGACCGTTGTCCTTTCAAATCAGGAATTCCTCCCCAGGCCAGCAATGAGTATGTTACATTGTGACACCAGCTATGTCTCCCCCCCCCCCACCCGTGGGCTCCCGGCGTGGCGGCGCCAAACCAAGGAGTGCCTGAAAGCTTCGGCCAAGCATGCGCCCTCTGCCAACAAAGAGGTGTGTGCCTTTGGTTGAGAATACCCTTGAGTGGTTGAAATGGAAACCCCGCTGCCAAAAAGTGAACGGTTGTCTCGGTACACTGTGCAGGTCTTTGGAGTTTACAGGCACGCCAGGCTGGAGATTTACAGTAGCTGAGAGATCGGGCTTCAAATCATGTAAACAAGTCCGCAGCTTAGACCCTCAGATGCGAATGCAGCATGCAGCCTTACACCTCCAAAGCCTGAGTTGCCAATGCTCTTAGGGCCATGGAAGAACTGCCGACTTGGACGCCACACCTCTTGTACAAGCGCGCTGGTTACCCTCTAGCGCAGTCTACTGGCCAAATGAAAGAAACACAATAAACAATGGCATTCTCCACTGGCATACGGCTACTGTCAACCCCACAGCTTCGCCTTGCCTGTACCACTGAAAGTGAGCATAACCCAACTGGTCGATTGAAAAAACGCCACGGTGATTCTGTGGATGGGAAGGCTGCAAAGGGAACCCCAGAAAATTGTCAGCCACAAAAGTAATACGGATTCGCAGGAAGGGATACACGATGAACCAAGTGGTTGATTCATCCGAGCTTAACATCCTACCCTCACGTCCCCAAACTTCTCGAGGTGCCTCCGAAAGAGCCAGACCGTCGCGACTCCAAAGACGCTCGAAAACGCCTTAGATCGGGACTCGGCGCGTTTCGGTCGAGACTGTTGCCGTGAGATCAGAGATCTTTCTATGCGGATTTGTTTTGCTGTTTCATGCACCCACCACCACCTGGTTTGTGAGGGGAGCCTATAAATCTGCTCGTGAGGGGGATTTTCGAAGTGGCCCAAACCTTTTCGAAGGACCCTGTTTTACGCGGAAGAACACGTGCCCAGGGAGTAACACACGTCCTGATCAGACTGCGTCTATATGTTTGAGGGTACCTTTCTATTGGCAGTTTGAAAGGAAACCAAATGCCACACACGTTTGGCCAGCCCACACACGTTTGGCCAGCCCACACCTGATTTGTTTTATGTTCAAAAAAATCGCGAGTACTGTCCGAAAGCCGTGGATCGTCTGGGTGCTGGTGTTGGTGCCCCTGCACGGCACACCCACGCCCCAACACCTTTTACATCTGAGCCGCAGCCGAGGCCAAGCGCCAGCCGGAAATCCAGGTCCAGCCTCAGGCGAGCGAGCGTGACCCTTGGGCCATGGAGACTTTGGGCAGCTTAAAGGAAGACGCAAAAGGGAGACACCGATTTTGGGGAGGCCCGACTTTTTGGGGGGCACGAATCCCTATTTTGACACATATGGAAGCCGAACCCACCCCCCCCACCAGTCTCAAAAGCTGTGGCAAATGTCCGCAGCTACAGGGGTGAACCCCTTCAATTTTTCGCAATGCTGGGGTTGAGCGCCAAAAAGGGTGGAGGGGATCTCTTTTTCTTTTTCTTTTTTTGTATTTTCTCGAAGTTCTTCTGCCTTTCAGGTTGGGGCCTGCTTCCCCTGATTCTTGCTCCTCTCCCGCCCCCTTTTATTGTTTTGCCCGTTTGGCTGAAGCGAGGCGCGAAGTCTTGAAGAGCCTCCCAATTGCATAACTATAAGCCCAGAGGATCCAGCAAGCAATCAAGATTGCTCAAGAAGACACCAACAGCAGACTGCCAACACATCCACGCAGGGACCTGTCCCAAGGGTGAGTTTGCCTATGTCTCCCTGAAGCATCCCAAAAATCAAAATCTGAGGGACCAGAGCTGAAGCGCCGATGCTTCCGGGCAGTGCCCTTCATTGGGCCTTCCTAGTGTCTGGGCCATGTGGAGAACCTCGCGCCCAGGACTCACGGTCCTCAAAACAACAAAGGATACTCCCCCGAAAGGTTCAGGGCGCAGGAGAACCAAAACAAGGAACAAGCGTTCGACTCGGACACGTGCCGAACCACAGTTCGACAACAAGCTTGCGCTCAATTCCGACCGGCTTTTCCGAGCTTGACATCCCCTCCCCGGGGGAAAGCCCAAGGCGAGGGCCAGTCAGCTGCAACATCCCTCCAGGCAAACAAATGGCGGAATTTGATTAAGCAGCCTCGAAAACGGCTGGTGGACGCCAACCTCCATGCTCTGATGTCAATCTTTAGGGGGCCCAATGAAAATTTGGGACCAACTCACTTTTGCAATTGACCTCTGGGCGGATGGCACTTCGCATTTCATTGTGGGGAGGCTCCTATGTTTCATGATCACGACCCTCGTCGTCCATGACAAACAACATCACATGGACAATCTTGAGCCAGAAGGGGGGCCTGGGCCAAGCAAAGTGCCGTGCCGTGTGCCATGATCCGTCAGCACGTGAGCAGAACGATAGGCTGAGCGAACGGAACACAACTTCATGTTTTGCAGACAACTTTGCTGGTTGCATTCGCTCAAAGTGAGCAACCAACAAAGGAAGGAACTAGAACACTTTTTCATTTTTTTGCCAGGAAAGAGACAGCGTATGCGACAAAAAGGACCCACAAGTGCAGCCAAAGGGTGTCAAAGTACGTCCTCGCAAGGTACCAAGGAACCAGGACAACTCAGGGCAACAAGCCCTATTCTGAACGGGTTCTAATCTGAACGATTTCCGGCCGCTTCTAGGAACAAAAAAGGTGCCAGGGGTCAATCAGAAGTCAAACCGCACCCCAAGCTTGACTCCCAGCATCCATTGGAACCGAGAAATTCGTACCAAAAACGCCGGAGCAAGGAGTGCTTGGCCGATTTCGGTTTTCTCACCATCTCTGGCCGCCCTCTCAGCCGATTTCCATCGCGGCCACTGGGCCTGGCTAGGCTCTTTCTGGCCAATCCCCTGAGGGTGAGGAAACGTCAGCCAATTCCATGTTTCTAGTCTTCCCAAGGGCCATGGAAGCATTCACAGAATTTCAGGCGCTCCCGAGTTGCCCTCCACTTACATCTCGAGGGGCCTCAACGGGTCCAAGGAAGCGCCTGAAATACGTCCCTGCAACCGAGGCTTCGGCATGTTCGCTCCCGGTAGGCATTCCTACCGAGATTGTGTTTGCCGGGGCCTGGCGAAACAACTGGCCACGTGAGTGGAAAATCACCCCTCTGCGATACCAAAGCGGGCCATCCCTGTGACTACTTTCTCACTTCAACCAAAGCTCCCTTCTCATCACTACACACTTGTCAGAACATGAAGCCCAACCCCCCCCCCCCCCCACTCTATAATAATTACACTATAGAGAGGCCAAAGCGATGGCAGGTTCTAGCAGTCCATCCTCTAAACCATGGCACTGAAGGAAAGAACCCTGACATGAAGCTCCATCAAATATTATCTAAGCCCCAGAGAAACATCGCAAATATCTTCTCAAAATCTTTTCTCCAAGGGGTGCCATTGAAAGACGACGTCTCTCCCTTCGCGCGCGGAGGTGGCCCGAAGGTCCTTTTTTTCCCAAGCCCAGTCGCGCGGTCGGCGCTGGTGGAGCGGAGCATTGAGCCCTTCCCACGCCGCGAGGCATCAGCACGCTGCATCACGCTGTGCAAAAGCTTAAAGAAGAGCTGCCCGCGCCGCGAATTACCTCCGCCTCAGGATGGCTAGGGAACGAACATGGGTTTTTGGAGAACGAATAACATCAAGATAAATCAGACAGGTCTTGAGAATGAATGGATGCCTCTTAAAGGAAAGCGACACACGGTCAGGCCGGATTCTGTCGTGTCCTGGTGAGACCCAGCAAGTCAGCAAACGAGTGTAAAAAATGCTGTTTTGTTATTTTGTGTATTCCGGGTTCGCCGAACCATCCTGAACTAACAGAAAGTGAGCAAAATGAGCTCAGGAGTCTGCATGTGCAAAAAAACGTCCAACCCCAGATGCACCATGTTTTTGACCCCCCCGCTGCCTAGGGCACGACTACTGGAGCAGTGGGGCGCAGTATGTTGGGGGAGCCAAACCTCCCTTTTGGAAACAAATGCGAAAGGTCAAATGGAGGATTTAATAAACCGTTCGGGGCTGGAAGAACGCCAGTGAACGGAACATGATGCGAGGACTCAGGATCCCGGAGCCCGCAGAGAAGATGCGATGCTGAAAAAGTCGCAATGTCCTATGCGAAATGATGCAAAGGATAGTGGCCATGGTCAACCCTTCAGGTTGTTTACATAGGTGTCCTTTTGGGGGAAATAGATGGCCATGGTAGATGATTAAACCACCCGGAAAACCAGGGCCATCTATTCCTAAAAAGGACACCTATAGCCTATAGTTGTCTAGATGTCCCAGGGTCCGCGACAACATCCCGGCCGAGAGGCAGAGTTGCGCGCAGCGAGCCTCCGTAAATCTCACCAGCATCTGGCCAGTGGTATTTGAAGGCAGGCTGCCCAAGACATCTCCGAAGTCACCATTCTGCACATCTGCAATCCACGCCTAATGCGACCAGCATGCACGAAACAAAACACGGCGCCCCTCAAAATTCATACGGGAACCTCAGAAAGCGACCCCAAAAGCGACTCTTGTACCCCTGTGGCCCCTTTGCGCTTCTGGGTTGCATGTCAAGTCCTCAGGGAGCACCTGACCCCTCACAGCCCAGCTCAGCTGTAAATCCCTGGAAGCGCCAAGTTGCTCTCACTTGTTCCTGAGTGCAAGGCCGGTCACGTCACACCAGGCAAAAGCTGGCAGCTGCCACACGAGGGGCCAAATGGGCTTGCCAAAATCAAAACAGAATATCCCCCCCCCAAAAAAAAAATCACACATTCACCCCCCCCCCCTTCAACTCCCAAAATCCCCCCTTGGCTGACTCGCCGACATTTCGTCGAGCAGCCGGATTCCACTGGTTGGGATGGGCTTCTGGTTGCCCCCGTTGTTCGCGCAGGAGGTCCACCAGTGGCTCCTGCCCAAACCCGCCAGCAATCGTTGATCAACTCTTGTGGTAGATGGCAGCCTCGGGAAAAAACCGCTCTCCCTCTGCCAGGAGCCATCGAACATGCAGTGTAATTGAACTTGTTTCCCACACCGGAGCCAAAGGAACAAACAAGTTCTCGTCAGTAGTTGGTTGTAAAAGGAAACCTCTGTCAACGAAAGTTGCCATCAGCAGCGCCCGGAGAATGTCAGTCCCTTTCGCATTCCTGGCCGCAGTTCGGCGAGTTTCTCATTCCCGAAAGCCTGAAAAAACAGGTCGCAGAAGAGCCCACGCATTGCTTCAGCAACTTCCAGTGAACATGAGGGTCGCTCATGCCCTGGATAGAAAACTGAAAAAATGGCCCGAACTCATCATCAGCAGCTGGCACTCAGCCAGTTGATGGTCGGGCCCAATGGATCATTTGCGCACCGTCCCATGCGTTCAGGACTAAGCTTGTAAGCCAACTCCAGCAAGATTTAGGTGTGGATTCATGTCCACCAACCGCTTGTGAGTTGGTTGGTTTGGCATTATCTATCTGAATTCATAGTCAGTTGAGATGTGCCTGGGAACTTCATACGAAAGTGGTGCAGTGAATCCGTCGTTGAAAGTTCAGTCGCTGGAGCCGTGGGCTTCAAGCAAACTTGCCAAGGGATTTCCTGCCCAAGGAAGCGAGACACGTGCATTGGTTTCACACTAGTTCTGACATCTGGAAAAAGGGACCCTAAGGTAAAGGACCTACATCATAGTGAGCTCGTTTTACCCGCTGGTCAGCTTGCCATATTGGGGAAATGCCAAGCGTCAGCAAAGCCGGTCGGGAGTCCATAGAACCTCCCGGCCCAGCAACGTCGCACAAGCTGCCCGAGTGGCAAACCCCCCTCCAAACAGGTGAGAGTTGCGGGAAAATGCGACATTCAAGTTTTGGTCCCTGAGTTTTCTCGGACGATACAGGCAGCATTTGGTGGGGCTGGGTGAATCAATCCTGGCGTATCTGGTTTTGGGGGAAACGAAGGTAAGTGAAGCCTCCAGCTCCCGGTCGATTCGATTCGATTCGATTCGATTTGGGGCATTTCGAGGGTGGGTTTCTTTCCCTTAGCTCCCACGGTACGTGTTCTCACGTGGGTTTCCGCTCGTCCTTCTCCTCCGAGTCGTTGAACCCGGCCAGCGCCGCCCCCAACCGCAAGGTGGACACCGTGTGCTCCGTGTCCGTGGCGCAGGGTGAGGCCGTGCAAATCACCGCCAGCCTGGCCGCGAGCCGAACGGCCGGGCGCACCTGGAACGGTCAGGTGATCTGTCAGGCTCACCGTTTGGGTATGGGGTGCTGAGAACAACGTGGAACAAATCCAGCATTTTGGGGGTTCATCCCCGTGTGACACCCCCTGCCAAAAGTGGAATAGGCAGAACAAGTATGATGCTGCTCATTTACAATGTCAAGCAATGTGCTTCTTTACCACTAAAATGTTGCATATCTGTGTTTGCCACTCAACAAATACACTTGTCTTGATCACCACCTAAAAAATCCGAACTAATTGCCTACCTTAAGCAGAGTGATGTATTGATATGTGTGGTTACCACTCAAAGCTTTGAGTGTTTTTCTACTGAACCAATCTGGTATGTTTGCTCACCACTAAAAACATCTTTGAAGTTGTTGTTCGCCACTAACAAGGTCGGACCTTGTTGCTTGCCTCCTTTTGCTTGCCACCAAAAAAACGCCTTAACTTAACTTTCTGTTCAACACAAACAAAGGAAGCTGTTAGTTTAACACGGAACACCATTCTCTTGTTGTTTGCGATTCAACAAGTCCAAACTCTTTGTTTGCCACTGCTGGGAATACCCCGCCGTGGCGCACACAATCGGCTGTTGGACATGTCAACCAATGCGAGGTATCCTAATATCAATTGCACTGGTTGCCAAGGAACTGAATAAATGAAGCTAACTCTATTGATTCCACGCGGGCGGCATTCAACCTGTGCATCTAGCCCGGAACTGGGCAGGGTTGCACAAGCTGCGCCACACAGCCTTTGCCAAGTGGTGCAAAACAGCAAGGCCCTCTTTTGGGTTTGTCTTTTGAGGGGGGCCGGCCCAAGTATATGTAAACGACACACCCAAACTCTCGGCCGGTTCACTGGGATCCGGAATGGGAGGCAATGCTCTGGCCTGCCCTTCTCGCTGATGAAGGCGTCGGCCAAAATTTTGGTCAGAGAGGATGTGCGATAGACATGGGACCTGAGGCTTGGTCAAAGCGGTCCCAAACCACAGCACTTATCGATTCCTGGTTGTTGGGCGGTGCTAACCTTGAGCGCGAAGCCGTCCTCTTTTCTCCATGTCCGAAGCCGCGCGACGTGCCCAAAATCACCGGCACGTCACATCCCGCGGGAGTCAGGCCCAAACTGAGAACTGCTAACTCGGGCCTTAAGCTGTTGAACTAGGGCCTCCGGCGGCACCTTCTGTTGAGAGCAGAGCGACCGGATGCAGTCCTTCAGCGAGGACAGCCTCAGATGCGATGCGCGCTGGACTTCTTGAGTTCCAAGTGGCCCAGCCGAAAAAGAGAAGCCTTTCGGGTAGATGTTTCATGGGGTCCCCCACCAAACTCAAAGTCAAAAAAGGGGTGCGGAGCAACGGGGGCTTGGTAAGGTCAAACAATGGAGGATACCAAGGGTCCTTGGCAAGCTCTCCCTAACACAAGGTCACTCACCCAAGCATCTACTGCCTTCAACGGGGACGGGAGTCACTGATCCACTTCTCTGTCTTCCTCAAGGAAAACGGAACAACAAGTGCAATCCGGCCCTAGGCAAAACACACACACACACTCAAACGCAATCGCAAAGGAAACACGGACTACCAAATGTTCCCCAAGGCCAAAACAGAATCACACGTGCAATCAATGGAAACATGGAATCACAAATTGACTGCAATGCTGAGGTTGAAAACATAGAAACGCAAATGCACCACCAAGAAGTTCCAACGTGCCTCAGTTCTTTCCGTTTGGTTCGGTTCAGCTTCTGATGCGAGGGTCGAGGTATTGATTTCCGCGCTTTCCTGCTGGCGCTCCTTGGTATGGTACATGGAGTCCTCCAGCGATGGCTTGCTCTTCCACGTGCCAGTTTCGAGTTCGTCCTAACCCCTCAAATATCGATGAGATGTCAGTGCGCTTTTTTGAGCTCGGTACCCTTTTCACCTTGGTTTAAGGGGTAACAGGAAACCCGCAATCTGTTGCGGGGGGGTTCACCACTTTGAGAAACTCCCAGACAAAGCACCTACAAGTCCCAGATTCCATGGCAAGTTAACAGGTTGGTGGTCTAAGGTTTGTAAATGGTGACTTCAAGATAGCTTGTAGATGACAGACAATTCCCTTGACTACCTACAGGCGCGGCGCGGGCCATACATGACTTTAAAACAAAACCACGCAAGCCCATGATTATTTTTAAACGCGAGTTGCGGCCTGCGCGATAAGATCCGAGAGGTGACATGGTTCAGGTGACCCTTGGCGGTTTGGACTGGTGGCTTGGGTTTGGATTCCTGGTTCTTTTAGAGGCTAGATGGGAACTCACCACCTATGCAACCTCCAAACCAAGCCACCAACTAGAAGGAAGCTGAATGGTAGTGGGAATCAACGAAAATTAAGTGAATGATTTATTGGGGACCCCTCGGCCAACACCGCACTGAAAGAACACCGCACCTAACAATGGCCAAAGAGGTGATGTTTAGTTTATAGCCACCTTTACAAGCAAAACTACAGGGGACCCCTCTGCACCCCCTTACCCCACAAGCTTATTTGGGCATGGGGCAAAGACCCCCAAAGCTTTCAGCTGACCCTCTGTTGCATATCATTTACATGGGGATTTATGTCCGCCATACTGTGGATGGACGGAATCCTGCACCACCTCAGAGACCCTGGAAGGATGATTCCCCTGTAAATACCAACAAACAATGGTTTTCCATGGTTTCCAAGTGGTGGATTTGGTCCATCCACAGTACGTCCGCCAGCCAGCCTTGGGGTTCCCCAAACATCCCAGCCGTTTCTCCTTCTTGCGCTCGCTGCCGGCGCAGTCCACCAGCACCAGCATCCCGTTGCGCTCGAAGAGGCGGATGATGCACACTGCGTGGCTGCGAGAGCTCACCGCGTTGGCCTCAAGGGCTTGGAAGCGAAAAATGGCCCAAGGGCAGTTCAGGCACAAATGCACCACCTTTGGAAGGCGCTAGTGGCCGTTTTGGTGCTTTTTTCCTACTCTAAAAAGGGGCAACATTGGAATTAAAGGTTGTTTGGGCTTGGTTGTGTCCAAATGAGTTGTATTGTTTTTGTAAAATTTTACCCTTTTCTCGTTGGTTGACAGGGAAGCCTAAAATAAGAATCGCAGTTTCAGTTTCATTTCTTTTAGCCCCACTTGGGCACGATGTTTCGTTGGAGGATGTTCCCCTTTACCACTCATAGCCATTGGCGTGTGCCAAAATGCAGGCACCCCCAAAAGGCTGGCTTTCCTGCTGGTTCTTTCTCAAAACCCGAGGCCAAGCTGCCCCAGTGGCAGAGGTCTTGCGGCGGGCATGGCCCGTCTCCAGAACCACACGCATGTCCTACGGAGTCCCCCGGCTTTAGCGATCTTGGGATATGGTCGGGCGACGGTTTTCAATAGTCAAGCAACTTTTGGGAGGCCACCGCCCGACGACTGGAAGCTTCCGATTCGGTCCTCGGCATCTTGCGGGTAGAGCTCCATGGCGCCTGGAGATCCAAAGCTCCGCACCCTATGATTCATCACCGATGATTTGCCCCTTTGAACGAGGGTTTTGCGTGGAAGTTGGGGGAAATTCCTCCTCACTACTTTTAGTGCGTTTGGCTCATGTCCAGGAGCCGGACTAGCAGACTTGATACATTGCTTGGATTGGCCGCCCCGGCATACTTATAGGAGTCCAACCTTTGAGGAAACCAGCAATAAAACAGACTGAAGTCGCCTTTCCGGAGCACGTGCATAATACCTAGGTCTTCAAGCTCGCTAGCATTCCGTCATGTAACGTCCTGGTGCCTTATTGCCCTTTGTCTGATGGCGATGCAACATGCGCTTAGGTAGCACAAGGACTCCTGACATGTTCACACTCCAGATGGGTACAGAGTCAAAGGCATTTCAACCCTTATGAATTTCGGTTCTCCAAGTGGCTTCCCTTGAAACCAAGCTGAAACGAGCAAACATCCAATCAACATGTTGGATTGTTTCCTCTTGGTTTCCCTTTGAAGCCACCCGAGAAGGGACCCTAGTATGACCCAGGCACGTGGCCGTGTAGAAAACTCTTTCTGGAAAAGTTGCATGTGAGGGCACTGTCCCCTTCCAAAAAACAAGAATGGCCAGCACTTCTCAGCTGCTTTTTCCTGCCCAAAAGGTTCCCCGGGCGTCCAGAAAGCAGTTGGTTCCCCAAACCGCTGGCAGCGAGGTCGTTGAGGGCCCCCGGGCGCTGGCCACCTGGCCACCTGGCCATCCCCGCGCCTTCGGCGCGGTAGGTGCCGTTCCCATGCTCCCGGAGCCGCAGCTCAGGGAAGTCCCGGCCTCACGGAAAAACTGATCGATGGCTCGCTGCGATGCGGGAAATCGGACCCGGAAAAACCACCAGCCAGGTGCGTGCAACGGGTTGTTCGAAAGGGGGTCCGCAAAAAGTAAGTTTTGTTCTTCCCGCAAGTCAGAGAAAAGTGTTTCAACATGACGTATGCCCTGCTTGTTTCCTGGGGCACTGGAACAATTTGAGTTGCAAACAGAAATGCTAAGGGCAAAGAACGAGATATGAAAGCAATCGGGGACCCACAAATGGGTGACAGCGATTGTTGGAACTTCACTGGGTCGGCCAGCATGGGCGAGCCACAATTCCTTCAACATACCGCCCCGGCTGCAGGGCTTTGAGTTGAATCCTCGCCAACTGCTCCCTAATTTGATCATCCTCGATGGCAAATCCTCCCCGAACCCACCCTCCCCCGGCCCCCCCCGCCTTTGCACGTGGCGGCGAGGAGGTCGAAGCACTTGTCACCTCGAAGCTCCAGAAACCTGGGCCAGCCAGCCCACTCCCCCCCCCCCTCCCTCGTTTGCAAGGGGCTACGAAGGAAAAACTCCCAAACATATGGGAGACGAATCCGGAATCCGGAGTGAAACTGGATCAAAAAGCGGCAAAAGGAGAAAGCAAAGGGAAGCTCTGCGATGCTATGAAGCTGAATGCCAATGGCCGGGTCCTCTGAGGCGAAAGTTGCGAAGATCTCGTGGGTCGCCATCTCCTCGATGGCGCACCTCACGCAGGGGCTGAACAAACCCCTGCGTGCCGAGAGGGTTTCGTGGCAGCTTGGTGTTGCTGTTCTCGTGTTTTGCTGCTATTTGGAAGGAGGGCTTGGTGCTTGGTTTTTGGTTGTTGTTTTGCTTTTTGTTGGCATCGGACTTTCCCTCTACCAGGAGTCTTTCCTGTCGAAAACCATGTTGTCAAAAACTGTCCGAGTGGGAGGTTCTTTCCGCTGCCAGAATCAGATCTCCCCCAATGCCGGCCCAGTTCTGCTGGCTTTCAAAACAGCCACAACCCACAAACTCCGTCGCTGTGTTTTACTTTATCCGGTGAAACCCCGTTCCAGCCGATCTTTCAGAGCCGGACACCGACCCCCCGCCGTGCGGAATCAAAACCGGGTGGCATGGTGTGGGTCTTTCCGCTGCCCGTCTGCCCGAACATGAAGATGGTCCCGATGCCGCCCTCGCAGGCCCCCTGCACAATCTCCGCCGCCGAGTGCTTGTAGACCCTGATTCGGAGTCGCGTAACGTCGGGTCGGTCTGATGGAAATGGAGGATGTGGGGCTCAAAAAAAAGGAAGCCCCACAAATTGGGCCAGGGAGCTGTTTCTTTGGTTCCAGGGCGGCAAATGAACACCCAGAAATGATTGAGCGGAAACCGGAACCTACAGACCCTCTTCGGTTCTTGCCTTCTGAGCCCCTGCTACAATAGGACCTAAATGGTACAGTACCGACAGTTGTTTGTTTTGAGCCCAAAATGCTCTGATTAGTCGCGGTGGGTTTCTGTTCATGAGAGGCTGGCTTTGAGCTTGAACAGCATTTTGGTGGAAAGTGCAGTTCAATAGTGTCTTAGCATTGGTGATGTTAAGCACAGGCTGAGCAAATACTAAGCAAAAAGGAAAGCCCTTCTGGCGGTTTTTCTGTCTTGGGGGCTGCAGGGGCACCTATAGTGGGGGGGGGGAGTACTGATCCTGAATGTCATCACCACACCAAAAAAAGGCGTATCCTCAACAAGACATATATTAATATATACATATGTCCAAAGAAACCGCTCCAAAATCTTACTGCAGCGACTTCATGCACGCTTGTCCATGATAGCCCCTCTTTGAGGCCAGTTTGAGGCCAGTGTTTCACATGTTGGTTCCCGTTTTGACCGTCAAGCCCAGAACTTTGGCAAGAGCATCTGGTGGAACTGTATGTATGCGTGTATGTATGTATGCGTGTATGTATGTATGTATGCGTGTATGTATGTATGTATGTATGTATGTATGTATGTATGTATGTATGTATGTATGTATGTATGTATGTATGTATGTATGCATGTATGCATGTATGCATGTATGCATGTATGCATGTATGCATGTATGCATGTATGCATGTATGCATGTATGCATGTATGCATGTATGCATGTATGTATGCGTGCGTGCGTGCGTGCGTGCGTGTATGTATATGATATATAATTATGTTTCTTGGCCTCTTGCCGGCCTTGCCCCTTTCTCTTGCCTTCGAGAGCCAGCTGGCTTACCAGGGCCATGGTAATTATCCCAGTTCGAGGACCTCCCTCGCCTCTTGATACTCGTCATGACATCCGTAGCATTTGGGCATACGAACAGTTGCTTCTCGCGGCTTGATTTTGAACCACTGTCTGGCCGTTGAAAAACAGGAAACCAAAGGGATATCCATTCTGGTGGTCCCGACTCCTAGTTTGACAGAACAGCCAATTGGGGGGAGTCTCTCCCTATGGTAGGTCTTAGGGTAGGTCTTAGATTTGGACGTCCCTTATCCCAAAAAGGGGCCCGATTTTTCTATGACACATACCGGGCTCCCCTTCGCGCGCCTCTTGTTGCTGGCCGTATGCCCAAAGACCTGGGCCAGAGCCGAAGACCAAAGGGGCCAAAGGTGAAAAGCTACGCGTGCGACAACAAAACTTGACGGAACACCCTCGGGCCAAAAAAAAGAAGAAGGGCGGATCGGCCCGAAAAGAGAAATTTGATTTGCGATCCGTCCGACCTGGTCGAAGCTGAAGCTGAGATGGCTGATGAAGGGACTCTTCAGATCCGCCTCGAAGAGGCAGCTGTGCAGTACCAGCTGGCCCGGCACCACCGAGACCACATCCTCGGCTTCCCAGAGCGGTAGTGGGGTTGCGCCATGTGTTACAGCCAAACCATGGTCCTTTAAAGGAGGAACCAGAAGGAGCTCGCTTAAACCATCTGCTCATAGTTGTGGGAAACAACATTCTGCGATACCGAGGACCAACATGTGGAGATGAGAAGTCTTGGTGCGGACAGTATCCCAGAAAGTGGGCCTAAAAGCCAATGTTCCGCTACCCTGGGTCGGGTGTGTTTGCAAACGACAACTGAAACATTGTGGCCTTGAGTGAAAAAGTATGGCCCATCTAAACAAAATCCGTTGGCTTCCCCTTTCAGGAATTAAACAACGTGGGCTATCTGCATCCAATTTTAGGATATTAAACGCTAAGCGCCTGTTAAAGCGGCCGCCGGAGAAAGCTGCGCACACCCTTCAGGCTGGCTTAAAGGGAAGCAAAAGGATAACCACGGCTTTGGGGGTCCCCCTATGTTGGCACATGAGACACTCTTAGTTGACCAGTGCTCCTGCTAGAACAAGAGAAGCTCGGTTTGAAGTTGATTTCAAACAGAAGGGGCAACAGGGTGCAAGTGAAGTACTTGTTTCCCCCAAAAAAGAACCCGGCCGCCGCAAAGGCTGTCCTGGAAGATACTTCCAGCCAGTTTGGTTGGTTGGGTGACAAACTCCGGACCAGGGGGTGAAAACCTAGGCCCCCGCGCCTCCCCCCCCCCCCCTCCGCGAACCAACCAAAAAGGGTTCGTAGAACCTTCGCAGGGGTTCTGATCTCGGGTTCCCATAAGCATTGGGGGCGGCTTCACGATGAAGTGCCAGCAGGCTGCAAAGTCGCCTTTCCTTAGCCATGGGCATAAACTCAGCGCAACAGGCAAAGAAACCGGCGGTGCGGCCACTTGGGCTGAAGGGGAACGAGGCCCTCTCGTTAATCCCCAATTTGAAAATTGGTTTAGATGACCGCTCAACATGTCCTGCTTTTTTTTTTTTTCTGGCGGGGATGTCCGCAATGGCTATTTCAGGAGTTAACTCATCGTTCCGGGACAGCTTCTGGATCCGTGTTTCACGAGGGTTACTTCTCCTTGGTCCTAGGTGGACATTTCCGCAAGGCCACACCGCCCAGCTTCCCTCTAACGGTTCAAAACCCCAAATCACCAATTGAGGGTTGCGAACAACATGCCGAGATATGCCGAGATCAACGGCGTTTTGCAGGGCAAAGGGCACAAAGCTCAACTCAGTTGCACCTATATCCATCATTCATCAGCTTCAACCTAACTGGTGGTTTGGGATGTTGGTTTGGAGGTTAGGGGGCGGTTTGCCAGTTGATCTCAATAGAACAACGAGTTCAACTCCCAACTCCCCAAGCCACTAATCCGAACCGCCAAGTAAGCGTGGGCAACATGGACAGTTCAAAGGTGATTTGAACTCATTTCTGCGCCGACAGGTCCCTTTTGGCTGTTGGCAGTAATCAGAGCTTGGACAACTCCTCACTGGCCAGGTTGCTCGATATCCTTGTCGAAGATGGGCCGCACCCGTACGAAGACCTATTGACAAATATTGATTTGGGCCAGAACCCTCCAAGGGCTATCCATGTGTCCCAAATTTCCCCACTTGTAGGGACTTGCTCCCGGAAGGTGCTGTGGGGTGATTGTTTCAAATGGGCGGCCCTTTCGTGGACATCATTTAGGCGGGGATTTATGTCCACCAACCATTTGGGAAGGTGTTCCCTTCCCGCTACAAATGATAGTCTATAATTGCATGTCAGCCTGGAGGTATTTAAGGAGCGTCCTTGCCCCAACTCCTCCTTGTAATTGGGGGTGCGTGTGCCCAATGTCAGATCGAGATGGTGGAGAATACTGTTCGTCCACTTGTTCTAATAGTTGGGGGTCGTCGGGCCATTCAAGAAAGCAACAAACCTCTAGATGACTTCTGTCAGGCAACGCCCCACAATGGGCGAATGACGGGTTCTTGTCCTGGGCACGGAGCACCCATGAAGAATCCGGCCGCATGCTTGTCCTCTGGGGCTCCGGATCCGGGGTTCCCAAGCCACAACCCCACGAGCAAATGCTGTGAGGCTCAAACAGCAGTCCAATCACAGCCAAACATTCGCCGCACATTCCCGACACTCCAAATGCTAACAGCGGAACGGCAAAATGGGCAAGGGCACCCACAACGGCGTCCGAGACTGGATCCGAAATTGAGACCAGAACGCGCACTCAAAGCAGGCAGAAAGCTCTTTGCCACTGCAGAGCCCCGCACAGAGCTTCGCTTTTTGCGGACGACCTGCTCGCAGCATAATTCCGCCCGACTAAACAGAGAGTCGCACGCTTCAACGGGGTTGAAGGCCAGGAACACAGCACCCCACACGCCGTCAGAATGTCAAAGGCAGGCTGCCTAATTCTCTGAACGCGTGGCCGAATCGATTTGTGTTGTGGAGGGACCATGGTGGAAACCTGCCATTTTGGGGGCTCCCCGATTTTGGGACAGACTCTATGTGAAACCGGCTGTCCAACCAGCCCAAGGCGCCTGCACTGCGCGCGGTCGGCGCCGGGGGGTGCGGGCAGTGAGCGCCTCGTTTTTGTCCAAGGACCTGAGAAAGGCAATGTTCTGATGTGCTGGGAACCGTGGATGAACAAGCCTGATTGGGTCATAGTGGGTTGATCAATAGAGGGTTGATTCATACAAATGGCTGATAGACGAGTAACAGAGAGTTGCTGAACAGAGAGTTTATTCATAGTAGAGGGTTGATTAATAGAGGGCCGATGATTAAACCGGCTTGACGAATATAGAGGGCTGATGAAAAACCGCGTTGATTAATAGCGGGTTGATTCACAAAGGGCCGCTTTGTCAGCCGGAATGAGCAATAGAGGCTGGATGAAAAGAGGAATGAAACATAGAGGGTTCATAAAAAAAGAGCTGATAAACAAACAGTTTGAAGAATACAGGGTTAATGAGCAGAGGCTAATTGATAGAAGCTTGATTTATAGACAGCTGATTCAAAAACCGAGTTGATTAATACAAGATTGATGAACAAAGGGTGGGTTGAAAAAGGATTAACAAATAGAGGGTTTAAGAATAGAGGGCTCACATGAATCGAGGACTGATTGAAAGAGCTGATCAATAAACTGGGTTGCTTGATAGCGGCCTGATTGATGGAGGGTTGATACAACACGGTTGAAAGCAGGGTTGATTAATGGAGGGTGAAATATTGGAGGGCTGATTAATACACTGGTGATTGACAGAGGGTCAATGAAAGGGTTGATGAATAGAGTAAAAGGAGGTTGACGCGGGTTGATGGGGGTTCGATTCACAGAGGGCTGACGAAACCGGCTTGAAAAAATAGAGGATGGAGGAAAAGGGTTGGCCAATACTGGCTTCATGAATAGAGGAGTCATTTGATACCCTTTGGTGGGGATTCAAACCACTCTTGGATGGAACACCCCCAAAAGCAAAAAGGACGGGTTTGACAATCCCGGGCCAACCTGTGGGTACCCTCTCAAGGTGGAACTGGAAACCACAATGTCTAAGACCCCGGCATTGTGATACCCATTACCAAGGACCAAAACGCAAAGCAAACTACGTCCGCCCTGTGTAGATCGCCGTGGCTTGTCATGAGCCGACAGCAGTGAAAATGGCACCATGTCTTGCCCGCTCCAAAAGCTTCGCCCATGCAAGTTCTGAGGCCCAACTGTGGCAATGCAGTCCACACATTGCTGCAGCTGTCGCTCTCCGCCTGTGTTTACACAACGTTCTCTGTCAACAGTTTAAAAGCGACATGCCAATTTCATGACACCTACACTTAACGGCCACAATTGGCTCACAAGTCAACTCATCTCGGAGCTAGCTTATCCCTCAGCCAGGTACAAAGGGTCGCGGAGCGACTCGTCAGAGCAAGACAAAACAACATATCGAGCTGATTGCGCTGCTGCAGTATCAATTCGGTACTCTTTCATCAGTGTTGCAGGACAGTACCATGATTGCCGTTGGCACACATCACTGTTTCCCCTCCATTCTCGCCTTCACACCAGCCACAGGAAAGTTTTGGCGTTGTTGAGGCTTCAACCCAGCCCGAAAATCATGCCTGATGCAGCCCATCCAGCTCCGTTCTGGGGCAGGTCAAAAAGGGCCCGAGGTGTGCGCCAGCCACGCAACCAAGGGCCTCAAACCCTGACAAAGACCTGCATTTAGCTCGCCATTGTTGTGCTGCTGTCGGAATGCTATCTTCCCCACCCCCCCCCTGTGCTGGGAATCTGGATCACTTTCGCGGAAACGCTGTTCTCTACCACAGGAAACCTATTGAGCGTGGCAATCCTCTAACCCAAATGGGATGAACGTGGGCCCCAAATTCGTTGCTTGCCTTTCAATGGGAGCTACGGCCCCTCCTTTTAGACATTTCCGAAAAAGGGAACTGCGTGGCCCAATTTTGGTCAGCTCCCCTTTAGTTGGTCGTGTGGATTGGTGGTTTGGGGGTTAGGCAGTCCCCAATCCAAACCACCAACCAAGCGTTACTTGAGCCAGGCAGATTAAAATTCATTCACCGAAAACAAGGGTTCCATAAGAGGAATGCATCAAATATAGCTTTTCGGCGCCCAACCACATGGGTGCTCAAGGGCCTGTGATGACCGACTTGGCAAAGCAATCCATCGATCGGGTATTGCTTTTTGCCTTGGCCTAAAGGGGCCTAATAAAATCAGAACTATAAGTTATAAGGGACGCCTGGTGCAGGTTCAACGATGTGCAAGGGTCTCTCTCCAGATGTTCCTTCAAATCAAGGTGCTGCAGCATCCGCTGCTGATAGCGGCCAATGGCCCCTGTGAAGATCTCCCGGTGCATGAGCCGCAGCGTGTTCTTGTCGAACATCTGCCGCCCGCCTGAACTGAAGAGCTCGTTCCTTTTTTTTGATGGGTTCCAATCGGGCATGACTTGGTGCACCTGCGTGCGGCCCCTACGTTCCTTCTGGAAACTGCGTGGGTGCCTCCAAGTGGAGAGCCTATGCCAGGCAGAGGAAAGCAATTCGCAAATACCTGACTTCCTGTTTACTCTCCAGCAGGACAGCTTTCAAAGTTGGTAGGGTCATGTTGGCAGACCGGAAAGGTCAACCACTGAGTTTTGGCTCACAACGCAAGGATTGAGCCGGCAAAAAACCACAACAAAAACAATCCAGCGAGCAGCGCGCAAGACCTGGACTTTTGGTTCGACCCTTTCTAATCCTCGTATCCATTGCCCAAAGGACCCAGAAATCAAGCGCCTACGGTCAATGTGGACTGCTCCCACGTCGCGCCTTCCTCGGCCTTGGCTTTCTTCTCCTGGGCCATGCAGGAGAAGCCACATGTGGGTCCAAAGAAGGTACCCAAAATGGGTTGCCCCGGTAAATGGAATCAGGAACTAAAACCTGCGGCCCCCTAATGGGTAATTTTGACCCATACCCACATGGGTGGGTGGTTTATCGGTTTAGCCCTGTACCCAACTGGTCCAGGATTTTGTCCCAGAGCAAGAGTCGCCCGATATTGGCCTCACGCCAGAGATAGAAAACAGCGATTAACAAATGTAACGACTCGCTTCTTCAGTGGGTTGGCCAGAAAAGTCTGAACTGTTGTTTATCACTAACCATGGCCTTACCAAAACGTTAAGTCCAGGAACGCAAGCACTCAAACAACTTCAGAACCCCTTGAGACCAACAAGTTGTAATTTGTGATGCCCCCTTCTGCTTGCTTAATCAGATCTCCTTCGCCAGCTTGTGCCAACCTTCTGAAACATGTTCAAAAAACCTCCTTTTAGCTCCCCGGGGCCAGGCCTGGTTGCTAAAGCGAATGTTGCCCTTCCAACCCCCAAACGGGCACCGGGCAACAGCTGTCCTGGATCTCCCCCAGCCCCCTTGAGGGTCCTAATCGGGGATGGGTGTCTTATTAAAAAACTCGGGCTATTTATAAAATTATGGGGTTGGACCGATTGGGCTTCGACTGCTGGGTGAGAATTTGGCCGCATAAAGAGAAAGATGTGTGAATGATCATGCGATCCTGGCCTAAAGCAACGCAACGAGAACCAACCAGACATACTCCTCTCATGGCATTCTCGAATTGTGGTAAAGTGGACATTTTTACCGAAAGTACTTGCCTCGCAAAGTTAGCCTTTTCTCACCTCAAAAGAAGGTTGAGGCACCGTACTGTAGGCATGTTGTAGAAAGGAATGTACTTCAAAGAATTGACACTGAGGGCAACAAACATAATTTACAAAGGTCGGTTGTCAAGCCTTGACTTTTCCCACGCTACGAACCTGTGCAAAGCCCTTGTGTTTGTTCAACCCCAACCCCTAAGAACGGACCAACTTCCAATCAAGCATGCCATGTGTGGCCATGGGTTTTTGACCCCGTACCCCCAGTGAACATCCCAATCACCACTAAAATAGACTAACATGGGTGGTGAACCTATCCCAAAATGGGATCCCATTGGTTTTGAACCATGGCCGTGTGGCTTCAAGAGAACACCACCCCAGCCCGTCAGCCCGTCAGCCCGCCAGGCCCACCTTGTCGTTCCGCTTCGGCTCTTCTCGCTGGCTGACCCGGCGGCCGCCTCCCATGGAGGTGCTGCGCAGCTTGGCCGGGCTATCCGTGGGCGTCTCGTCCCCCGGCTTCGTCCGCACCTGCCGAGGCGAAAAAGCGCGGCTTGGGCGGTCTTCATGCACTTGGCCCCCCGCGTTTAAAACCCCTTGAAGGGGATGATTTACTGGGTGTAGAAGCCTAACCTACATGGGACTTGCTGGGCTTATAAGCCTATAGCCAAACCGCGGCAGTTTGCCGAAACCCTGGCATGTGGTGGGCATCGGCCTAATTTCCAGTAGAACTCCCTGCTTCCAAGCGCAAATCTGGGGCCAACTCTTTGATTGAAAAGACTGGTGTTCAAACAGTTGTCTGTCATTCATGACAGCCTGTCAGTGTCCCTGCCTTTCCCTTGTGGATTGCGAATTTCGTGGCTGGCCTTGACATATTGGAAGTCTTTGGCCCAAGCTACGCCTAAAACCACGAAGAAAGGACTCCCCAAGCGAAGGACCTCATCATGGGTGAGCTCATGTAACGTTCAGAGCTTGGTTGAATTTGTTCAGAGAAATGCAGCTCATTCAGCTTCATGCGGAAGTCAAAGAAAAGGCTCCAAACCAAAACCAACCGGAAAAACACTCAAAATAAAAACTCCCCTTCGTGCACCCCACCTGCCGGGCCGTGGTGGGACTCGCTTGGCTCGGGCTCGGGAGCCCTCTTTCCATGGCCCGCTCCGCCCGCTCCGCCCGCTCCGCCCGCTCTGCGCGCGGCGGCGGCTCGGGGACGCTCTTCTCGGTCTTCTTCAGCTCCACCTGCTCCTTGCGCTTGTCCAGCCGCTTCCGCAAGGCCTGCCAGCAGAGCTTGGCCCAAAGATGCCGGCCATTCAGCGCGCGGGTTAAAAAATGAATCCCAAAAATGGGCGGGTTCCCTTTTGGCTTCCCTTCAACCAAAAGGAGGGGACCTTTGCCACCTGTTCTTGCCACGTTCTCATAGCGCCAGAATGATTTGTGTGCCCTGGCCCGCATCAGGAACTGATTGGGGGTGTGGGATCGCGACTCAATGCGTACCTCAAAGGAAGAGGTTCAGAGAGGAGACTTGACTTTGCCTGCCCAGGCCCTAAGGCTTGATTTAGGACACAAACCAGCCGCCTGTGTCTCTTATGCGCATGTGGAGCCATTCGCGGCGCTCAAAAACAAGCTGTCTCAACATGTATATTTGCGTCACACCCACAACAAGGTCGGTGATGTCAAATCTGGGCATCCAAGCAGCATCCAACCAAGCAGGGATATCTCGAGTTGCTGGCGCTAGATTCACATCTGCATGATCCGTTCTTTTTCCTCGCCCTTTTCGTCTCCCCATGTCAAAGAAACAGCTGGGCCATGCTGGGCCGCGCCACAACGACCAGCCTAGCGCAAAAATACGGGTCCCATAGTATGGCGGGTGCCAGGCTTTCCTGCCTGCGCCTTAACCCAAACTCACTTCCTGGCCGAAAGGTGGCGAGAATAAGGAAAAACTAAAGAAATCTGGGCCCGCTAGAGTAACATCCTCTGAATGGTGTCTTTCAAGGGAACCCCTTCAAACTGCAACCATTTGCAGTTTCAAACAAACCTTGGCCGAATGATTTGGGAAATGAAGTTAACGCCCCAGCAAGCCCCATTGAACAACTTGAACCCCCAAACCAATGGCTCGAGGCCCAAGTTGCCTCTGGCATCTGCTTCCCCACTGAAGGAGACTCCTCGAGGCCAAAGTCCAGGCGAAAGAAAGAACCAGGCACCTGCCAAATCGGCTGAGGCTTTGGGTTTTGCTGGGAACATTCCATGAAACATCAATGACAATTTGGATTGTGGCTCCGAAAAATCAGCGGGCAATTCTGGCAGTCACAGCTGCCAGCTGTTCTCCAAATCAGCTGCACGACGTCCAAGAAGACGGGGGTGCTTTGTTCTTGTCCCATGGCCGCCTTTGCCAAACCCATCAAACCATCTTGGCCACAATGTTTGCAAGGGGATCACCCTCAGGTTACCTGCAACTGGGTCCATCAAAGTGACATCGTCAAAATCGCCTTTGAACAGTGCTTTGAAGGCTTCCCCTCAACAAGTTGGCTTTACCCTCCCTGCAACAAGCATGAAAGTACGCTCCTTGGGAGTCCGAAGTTTGAGCAGGCATCAACATTCTCTGGTACGTTCCAATACAAATGCCACTTTAGGTCTCAAAACGCAAAACATGAGGGGCACCCGGCCCTTCACGAGGCCATCTGGGGCACACCCAGCCAGTCATACCATTATCTCCGGCCCAACCAAAAATAGTTCGACCCAACCAAAAAAAAACACAGAATCTGACTCCTGCAGCCAGACTTGGGCCCAAAAATTGGACCCATATATTTCGACCCAACAACAAACACCAATTATCTGACTGCTGCAACCCAAAAAACGTGAAAAATCGCTTAAAGAGAAAGACCCACAGCGCTCGGCTTTGGCGACTCTTCAGGCCTCCGGCTCCGGGGAGGAGGCCCCGGTGGACGCCGCGGCCGCCGCCAGCGCCTCGAACTCCTCCTCCGGGAGCTCCCCTGCGTGTCCAGGTCCGGTCGACCCTCCCTTTCGTGGAACCTGCAGAAAGCCCCCCTGAAGGAAACTGGTCTAGCCTAAGGGTTGCTTCCATTTCCATTCTTTCCAGGGATCATCAGGGAGCCTTCTTTCTAGAAACTCCGGGGGAAACAGCTGGGTTTTGAAAAGAAGGATGGTTGAAAAGAATGGGGAATCAACCACTAGTGTCTTCCAGGAGCCCCTCAAAGTTCTAGGTTTGACCGGCTGACCTTTTGAATATTGATAAAGCCTTTTGATTTGCTTTCGAGAGGTCGAACACAGGGCACACGACAAGTCCTGATTAGGATGTACACAAACAAAGGCGGCCAAGGGCGCAGGAACAGCAGGAGTGTGTGTGTGTGTGTGGCCTAGTTTACCGTGTTGGTGACCTTTTTTTTTTTGGGGGGGGGGGCTTAAGGGAAACAGGGAAACCTTTTTTGGGGAGGGACGGGTGTGATTGAATGGGATGCGAAAACAAAAAGAACAAATACAGAAACGGCCCATCACAAGAAGTCGAATGCGAGTCAGCGATTTGAAGCCTTGCCTGAACATTCCCCCCGCCCGAAGGTGCCCATGGCCTAAATGTGCAAACCATGGGAAGCTGATGTCTGCTCTATGGAATGATGGCAACGTGCAGCTCCTTTTTAACCCGAAAGCATTGCAAATACAGTGCAAAGGAGGGGGGAATGGTCGTGCCTGGAGTCATGCCTCACACTGGTCAAAGTCTGAACGTATAGTATAGTGCATGAACGAAGCCCTGCTACGAACCGTGCTTCATGGCTTAATCAACTGCTGATTTTGCGATGTTGGTAAATCAGCCCCAAGGGTCCGAAATGCTATGGCTGTATATGGGTGTCCTTTTTGAGGGTACCCCCCTTTAGGCTTGGTTTAAAGGGAAATCTGGAGGCAAATCACCATTTTGGGGGTCCCCTAAAAGCGCTTCCGCCTTGCAGGTATCGCATAGCCGGCGCATCCCAAACAATGGCTGCTGCAGACCGCGAGGCCAGCTGGAATCGCTGGCCCAATTGCTTCAGCAGTAGCTTCTCCTGCGCATTCCTTGGGACGAAGTGGGGGGGGGGGGGCATCCATAGCAAATCCCAGCCCCGCACACACACACACACCAGAACAAGAACCAGCACAATGTAAGCACAACACAAGCCATACAGCCAACGCACAAGCAAACACAAAGCAAAGCAGCCCCAGACCCCGCAATCCCGTTCGCTGCGAAGGCGCATCTCGGTCATCTGGGAGCACCCCTCAAGGGCCCTCTTCTGGACTGGCTCGCCCTCCTCTAACTTTGGCGACGCCGCCCGCGGGGACATCTGGAAAGGGCCTCGCGCGTGCAAAGCAACTCGAAACGCAGAGTGCCAATGACAGGGGTCACTGGATTTCCCCTTTCGATGTTGCAGTTGACTGGTGAATTCCAACAAACTTGCCAAACTAGAAACGAGGAATCAGCGAACCTTGATTGTGCGTAAGCTCGTACAACACCCCTAATCAGTGAGCTCCGTGTCTTTGTGCAGAATCCGTGCTATGCCTTCGAAACCAAACATTGACTGCGATACTTTAAAAAGACACACGCCACATGTAATCCTAAGCCTCGGAAAGCGCGGCTGAGTTGCGCGAAAGCCGAATGGCCCCAGTGTTCAAGAGCTTCGGCCCTGGAGAAGATGTTTGGTGGACTTTGAGGGGTCAACACCCCTCGGACTGTTCGAGTTGCAGAATCAAGACGCCTTCAAAGGAACCCCCCCTCGGGAGAAGAGGCAAAAGTCAGGGGAACCGTTTGACGGATTCTATTCTAGGGGTTCCGGTTGCTTGCGCCAAAGACAGTTTGCATCCGACAGGAACCCAGTTCGTAGAACCCATTCAAGGTCACAGGGCTGCCTATGTTCCCCTCTTCAGCGTCACCCCACCAAGAGCGAACTTCATCCCAGAGGGGCCCAAAAGATGCTTAAATTTGCGAAAAAGGGAACTATATGGCCCTGGTCACCCAGTTCCAATCACTTCCAAACATATGGGGAACACCAGCTTCCCTATATGTTACCTATTTGGGTGTGCTTCTTTTTACTACATCACTTTCGGGCCGATTCAAAGTGGATTTAGCCTTGGCCATTTCACCGGGAAAGCCACTGCCCCCGGCCGGCGGGGCGCCTTCACGACGCGGTGGTTGGAATGGCTGCGATTGCGGGGTGTCATCGTCGGGCGTGGCCTCTCTCGGAGTTCTGGGAGGGGAGGGGGCCTGAGATCCACCTGAACGTGCCCTATGTTGGGTGGTGGAAAAAGGCCAAAGAAAAAAAACAAAATCGAGGGGGGGCTTTTCCTCACAAAAGGCAGACCCATGGGTTCGAACTTCTGAACAGGCCCGGTGAAACTTCCGGCTTTCAGCCAACAGTCGGAACAAACCAAAGGTTGTGTTGTGATTGGGTGGGCAACGTGCAAATCGCGCTCGGCAATTGGATCAGCTTAGCATTCCACTGGGTCAGCCCGAAGGTGAAAAACACGTAAAACACCACTTAAACAACCTCCAGTTGGTTTCCCTTTTTCAGGTTTTAAGTAGAGGGGGTGGTTGACCTGTCCAATCCTTCTCCACATTGCCCCCCATGGCCCCATGGTGGAATTTTTGGCCTTGTGTAAATGGCCAAGTTACCTCATCTTTTGAGGAGACAAGTCCAAATGCCCGCCCCTGACTGTAAGATCCGAGGTGTCCTCTGGCTGTCCCGACACTTACTCTGAGGTACAACACTTGGCCATGCGGGGTACTCCAACAACATCTGCACCCCGCAAGTTGTCAGCTTGCAACGATTTTGACAGCTCTCAGAGCCAAAGCATCGCCTTTTCACACCCCGGCTCAGATTCCCAGAAGGTTCGGGTTCGAATCAGCCCCTGTTCAAACCATGGCTTCAACCACTGATCTCCTGCTGGCTTTGAAGAGACCACTGGCGAGAGTCAGCCGCTTGTTCAAACATTGTTGAATCAAGAGAACTAAAATCCGCTTGGTGCCCCAAAGGCCGGCTGGCCTTTCAACACAATGCCATGCTGACAGGGGAGCTGGTCTTTGGCACAATGCCACCCCTCACACTGGCTCAATTTGGGCCAGAGGGTGACATACAAAAGCATCCAAAACGGAAATCCAGACCTCCAAAACGCTGTCAATTGGTACCCACAGCAACACACACACACACAAAAAACACAACTGAGTTGCTTCCCCGAAAAAAAAAAAAAAAAAAAAAAAAAAAAAAAAAAAAAAAAAAAAAAAAAAAAAAAAAAAAGAAGAAAAAGAAAGAAAAAAAAACGTTAGCCGCCCATATCGTCGTTCGCACATCCAACGGGCTCGTTGCCTGGGCCACGCGCTGGAGCTGTCGGATCTGCACTCGCGTCAGGCCCACCTCTTCGAGGTCCGAGGTCAACAGATCCGCCACCTGTCGATGCGGGGAACGTCCGAATCGAACGGGGGGCTCATTCGAAAAGTCCGGATCCGGGGGTGAGGGCGTTTTTCAGCCGGAAAAGCTTGGAGCCTCCATGACCCTTTGACCCCGAACCCCAGGATTTTGAGCGATTAAACCATTTGTTTGAGGGTGGCGGTGGAGACTCTAGGCGTGTTTACCCCAACATAGGTGTGGGAACCCGTTTGTCTGAAGATCGGATCTGAACTCACCGGGGAAAGCCGGCTGGAATCTTCCCAGAAGAAAACCTGCGTGAAAAGGTGTCTTTGTTCAGGGGTCCCCAAATTGGCTTCGGTTGTCCTGGTGGTTTCCCCTTTCAAGACCACAAACAAGGGGTATTCTCACAAGAACAAACCCATATGCAAACAAAAGACGCTTTTGCAACATTGCTTGGGTGGAGAAGGTATCTTGGCCGATAGCTTCAAGAATCCCCGCAAGGGTCATGCGTGTCCCCATGTGCCACCTCCTGGCACGAACAAAAAAAAAAAACGGTTTTTCCGCCTACATGGCGCTGGCGTTTCCAAAGCCTTTCGGTCTTCGGCCTGCGTGAGGTTATGCACCCCCAAGGCCCGCAGCTTCGGAAGAAAGGCGCCCAGCTGCAAAGATTCCAAGACCGAAGCCAGGTCCATGGCTTCCAGACATCGGATCTGGACAAACCCCACGCCGGCAAGACAACCCCACGACCCCCGCGGATGGTTATTTTTGGCACCCGCTGGAAAAAACACAAGATACGTGGGAAACAGGGCAGCTGGTGTTTTGGGGCACTTTGCTGTTTTAGCGGATTCTTGCCCTTGCACAGCCATTTGAACGTGTTCATGCCACTTGGTGGGAAATCCCGGGCCGCGTTCGGCCCTGCCAAAAGGACATCTAAACGATTCTCGAGCAAAGTGCCCATGGAGGGCGGAAATACGCACATATGGGGATGGTTGAGTCTTAGAACAATTGGAAAGGAGGACTGGGCGTGGCCTCGGTCCAAGCCAAGCGGTAAAGCTCAAACGCGCAATTTGGGAGACGTGGCTGGCTCGTGTGCCACTTGACTTGAGGGGCCAAATGTGGTACAGGTAAGGCTCGTCCCCTGGCCTTTGCGGAGACATGTAATGAGTCCCCCCTTCCCGTCCCTCCCAGATAAAACAGAACATGTTGACCGAACTTCACATCTTCAGCTCTTCGCATCTGTCAATTGGCAAAGGTTCATTTGCTATGAACCGGATTCTGCTATACTAGCCGTGCCACTTTCCGGGTCCTCTATGTTTCCTCTGTGAAAATACCAACCACCCAACAGAAAACTCACTTTGGGCCCCAAACGTGCCTCCCACCCCTAGCAGGGAAGCGTCGGAGGGCTATGATCCCAACCCAACTCTGTCAGCCCGCCCTGTGGAAAAGACGCTGACACATCGGCTCGTGCCTCTTCTGCAACTGCCTCAGGCCTCGGGAAGAGAGCCGACTGAATGAGATAGACATTGGAAGAGTGGCCTGGACAGCTATCCCGCGGACCTTGAGAAAAACGCGGTTCTTGGGAGGGCTCTCAAAAGTGTTCTCGAAGCGTTCTTCGAAGCTGCGCAAACTAAACAAGCTGGAAATTGGTTCCACAGAACCATCGGCCGAAGTTCCGAAGTCAATTTCTGAAATCATGCGCAACTCGCACAACCCTTTGTGGAAGTTTCGGGGTACCGGCTATCCAGCCCGAGCGCCATCCCGAAACTGTCTGACTGAAGAGCTCATTGAATTCTCGCAGATTTCTCGGGCGCTTGACTCCGGAAGTACAGAAGTAAGCCATTTGTTTAGAAGCAAGCGTAGGGAGGAGCCATTGACTTTAAACTAGCAACTTACATACCACACGCCGGCAGCATATTGGGTCATGGAAGCGCCCCATGCGACGTTCCAAGCCAGCAAGAATCTGATACCCTCTCTCCTTCGCAGCTCGAATTACGGAGGGCTGGGTGGGGGCGGAAAGCGAGAAATGAAACAATTGCATTTTGCAGCAAAAGGCCCAGAACCTTCGGCGAACCCAGCTGAAACCTGTCAAAACCATTAACAGCAGTCCTGATCTGCAGATTGCCGTGTTCACCCTGCATGGCATTGCAGTGGACAAGGGAAGGACAAATTGAAAAAGATGGGTTCTCGTTCCAAGTGGCTTGACTGCTGCCTGGTAGACTCAAAGGTCAAGCGCCATGCTGACTGCGCACGCACAAGCATGGCTTTCACCCGGGCAACCTTTGAGTTATGGGGCAAATCAGCTCCTTCATGCTACACCCACTCCAACGTTGAATGGAAAATCCTTAGTCGCAAGATGCAAATCCTACAAGTAGCTTCAGGGACTGACACGACCTACTGGCCTCAAACTCCCATTGCGTACCTAGCGATTGCATGATCACAATAATATATGTACAATTTTGTACTCAATTGTACGTGTATGTGAAATGTGTGCCAGCATGTAAGCAACTAGACAGTGCACACATATTATATGATGCCGCTATGGTTCTAAGCGGACATGTACCGCGTTGCATCCTAAAGGCGTGTTGGTGCGCGGCCCACCCCTTGGAGAATCACTTTTTGCTCACCTCTCCGCAGCAACTTTACGTGCAGCGTTTCCAGTCGACAAATCCAGAGCCTTCTTTGGAAGGTATGGTGCCTAGAGGCGATCCAATCGAATATCATAGCATCCATTGGGAAAGAGTAGCTACAATCTACAAACATAATGTTCATCGACTAAACAGGCTCATGGTTCTGCTAATTTTCGTGATGTTCTGACTCGATTTCGGCCGATCGAATCAGTTCCTACTCGCAACATGTCCTCAGCCTAAGCCTCACTCTGGCCGGCCTTGCCGCGCAAGCGTGCATGGGCCTCTCCTGGACATGGAAGCGCAATCAGGAAGACACATTTCAACCGAGGCAACCCAGCACCAGGCGCGAACGCAATCACAAAACGCAAAAACTGAGCCCCCCTCCTTGGGAAATGACACTGCCACGCAGTTGCCAGCCACTGACATTGATCACCCCCCCTCCCCCCCAAAAAAAACGCCAAAAATGCCGACCCCCCAAAAAAAGCAACACAAGGAACACGCCGGCCTGGGAGTCTGAGAGGAGAAGAAGAAGGAAAACCCCCGCTTTCTGCTGGCCACGTCAGCCCTCTCCTACCAAGCCATTGGCCTCCGCGGGCTCCAGGCCCAGGCGACTCAGCAGGCCTTGGGCCTCGGGGAAGGGCGCGGCCTCGCCCATCAGCCGCAGCCGTTCCAGGTACACCTCGCTTGGGCCAGCTGCACAGGGACTCGGATCCGTTTTTTTTTTTTTTTTTTGGGTGGGGGTTCAATGCCAAGAACAGGGAGAAGGGGGGGAACCATGTTGAGACCTGCCGGTTGATCGGCGTGTTCCTCTTTGCTTGGCTGCTTGTTTCCCAAGGCGAGCTGCTACGGCTGGCATTGTTGAAGTGACTGGCCTCAAGTGTCAAGATGGGAACAAGGAACCTGCACTCCCTCCCGCAAACATAGCACTTGCGGGGAAGGTAACTGGATCAGACTTTCGTCAACACCTTGTTTGGGAATCTCTTGAAACCAGAGCCTCTTCGAATGAAACACATACCCATGACAAGCCTAATTATACTTTAGAAAAAGCCAGGAAACGCAACACACATACCCAGCAGTAGCCTGCACCTTGCTCACACCATCTCACACCCAATGGATCCCAATGGGAGGGTGTCCCTTTCAAATGCGACGGGGTCAGAAGCAAAAAGGAATGCCAACGGTGAAACATCCCTATTGGCCCCAAGCAACCGGGGCCCTGCCTGCCTGCCTGCCCTGGTGACGCGACAGCCGACCAGGCTCATCTTTGGGGTTGTCTCTCCTGGTGATAGGTGGCCTCTGGAAATGTGTTGCAGCAGTCGATGCCAATACCTTTGCAACCACTTTAGGTGCTAAATGGGAGGTCTGCAAAAAACAACAATGACTCATACCTGACTCATACCTTTTTACCGTCCCTTCGAGAAATTAGACAAAATTTCGCCAGCAGATTCCCTGCACCCGCAACAAACCAAGCGAACCAACGAGCGACATCAGCACCTTCCAGCGCTCGGCAATGTCTGCCATCTTGTCCAAAAAGATGAGCTTCCCAGCTGCATCGAAGCTGCCGTACGCTTGCCCCAGGCCAATCAAGGCAATATGGTCTGCCCTCAGCAGATCAAGAAAAGCACCAAGCTTGTCGCTACTTGCCACGCTCCGCCAAACCAAAAAGAGACTGAGGTTTGACCTGCAGTTGAAAGGTCTGAGCACATCAATGTGGCTGGTGTCGTTTTTTTGGACCACAAAACTGCCCGCGTCGCCCCCAGCAGCGCAAAGGATATTTGGGTGTGTCTCTCTTTGAGGGTACCCTTTTTGACACTTCAAAACTTTGAGCACTTTGCAACAGTCCACAGGAAGCAGGAGCAGGCGCTACCTCATCTGCAGGAAACGGGCAGGTTCTGTCTCACAATTTTGCCTTGAGGCAGGCAACGTTTCTCCAGCAAAACCAAGCGAACCCACCCTTTGTCAACCCCCCTATTTTGACTGAGTTGCTCTGTGATATGAGCTTTCCTTTAGTGCCACTATGAGTCATTATGTGACCACTCCCCTCTTTCCTTCCTTCCTTCCTTCCTTCCTTCCTTCCTTCCTTCCTTCCTTCCTTCCTTCCTTCCTTCCTTCCTTCCTTCCTTCCTTCCTTCCTTCCTTCCTTCCTTCCTTCCTTCCTTCCTTCCTTCCTTCCTTCTTCCGACCGGCCGACCGACCGACCGAGCCGCTGCAGCGCGCTCCGCTCGTCCTCCACCACCGGCGCCGCACCTTCAGTTGCCAAGGCGAAGTCCGCCGTCAGCTGCTGCGCCTGTCCTCGGCTCAATCGGGGGGGGTATCCAATACGCCCTTTCGTACATTTTCCATTGATTCGCACTTTGCATTATATAGCCTTGCTCGACCCTAGTTGGCCTTGCTCGGCTGCTCGGCTTGCTCGGCCTGCTCGGCTGCTCGGCCTGCTCCCTAATTAGCCTTGCTCGGCTGCTCGGCTTGCCCTGCTCGGCTTGCTCAGCCTGCTCGAACCTAGTCGGCCTGCTCGACCCTAGTTAGTCTTACTCGGCTGCTCAGCTTGCTCGGCCTGCTCGGCCCTAGCCATCCTAGACGGGCTGCTCGTTCCTAGACGGCCTGCTCGGCCTGCTCGGCTTGCTCGGCCTGCCCGACCCTAGCCGGCCAGCTCGACCCTAGTTGGTCTTGCTCGACTGCTCAGATTGCTGAGCCTGCTCAACCCTAGACGGCCTGCTCGGCCCTAGTCGGCCTGCTCGACCCTAGTTGGTCTCGCTCGGCGGCTCAGCTTGCTTGGCCTGCTCGGTCCTAGACGCCCTGCTTGGCTTGCTCGGCCTGCTCGACCATTTTGCGGCATAATCGGGGTCCCCAAAAGGAGATTGACCTAAACATGGGCTGTCTTCGGGTTGCTCGTTGATTTGCAGGGAAGAAGAATCCGACAGAAATGTAGATGTACCTCTGGCTTCCTGTTCAACAGCCCCCCCGACAAGGCGAAACTTGTTGCAAATTCAGCCTCATGCTTCCCTCCCACAAGTTAACAACCCTCTTGCAAGAGGCGCCAAATCGGAAGGAGTCCAGCAGGCCAAGCAGGTGCTGCGACTTCCTCAGATCTGGATCATGGCAAAACAAGAACCTTGAACCGAAATTAGGCCTTGAAGCATCGCTATGTCACTATACAATTATGTGCTGAGCGTGATGATGGAACGTCGAAAGCAGGCAAATTGGAGCAAAGGCCTTGAAGCAATGTGACAAAATGGTGGGGTTCCTTTTAATTGTCATTTAAATCAACCACCAAAAGGCCACTAAAACGGACAGACCCAAATGGACACCCTTGAAGGTGCTACCTCCACTTCCATTGGAACGGTGCTGAGACCCCGGCGGCGGAGTGGGCGGCGGCGGTCGGCCGCGGCTCATGGCCTGTAGAGTGTCCGCCTGGCCGGATGTCGCCGTGCGGTTTGGCCAGTTTGGCCACGCATGGGAAAACTAGGCTTACCCGATGTCCCCATGACCCTTGGGTACTTTTCAAAATCATGGGGTCCTGACCCGAATTTCAAACGGTCATAGAGACTCCATGTTTTTGCCCAGCAAACCCCATTCAGGAGGTGCTTTCACCCTGGCCCAAGGGACGCCTTGTGGCCCGGGCAGAACTTGAGTGGAAATGGGTTGCTTGCAACCTCAGATGTTGCGAATGCTTGCAACCCAAGCAAAAAAGGCGGCAAAGGAACAAACACCGAGTGTTTGGCTTGGAAAAGCGGGATTGCATGGGCACATTGCTAGAATTCCCAAACTAGAAATGCGATCCCCTCCCTTTCCCCTTAAAGGACGCTCATTTTACCTTGTGCGTGGCTTTCAGGCAAACTGGCTTTACGTTCTTGCCCTCCCCACAACCACCTGCTTCAGCTTTGGATCCATTGAGTCAGCGGGTATTTCGGTGATTTGTCAACTGGCGCAAATGTAATCTGCAAACCTGCCTGGAACAACGGAAAAGCGGGGGGCTACCATTGCGCGCAGATTCTCTGGGAAGGGGCCTGGGGGATCCCTGTTTGTTGCGGGACTTGTGTAACTTGCAGTCTTTTCTTATGTTGTAGAGCGGCCGTTGGTGAAGATTTGTAGCTAGCATTAAAACCGCTACAACACACTGTTTTACGATGGCTTCCTGACCATGGTAGTGCTTGCGGCTGGGCAAAGACTCGTTTTTGGACTCTGAAATAACTCTGTCAATTTCTACTCGATCTCTAACTGAAACAAAGCAGATATTATTACGGAAAGAATCCAATCATAAAGTCTGATTGAAATTAGAGTGTTAGTCAGAAATACTCTATTTCAAGCCAATTTGTACATAGGAGTTCCTTCGAATAGAATGAACGAGAACAATGAACGAGCACACGGTCAGCATCTCCAGCGAGCATCTCCAGCACCCCCTGCATTATCTGCAACAGGCGCGCACGACCAGAAACATGTTAGAATCTGACCTCAAAAAACAAATGTAACGAGACAAAAACTCTGCAACTACATCAGCTCTGCAAATTTTACTCCGGACTTGCCCCCCCACCCCCCAACCCCTACTATCTTCACCCCAACGTCTTTAAAGGTCGCTTTCCGTCATTCTGTGTTAATTATAATTTGAAGCCAGGGACCTACCAAAGGACCTACATCATGCTGAGCTCACAATGAACTGCCACAGGTGATCTCGCCATAAGATAGGCGAATGAATCCTGTACCCCCCCCCCCCCCTCAACAGCAGCTTTTTCGCATGTCCACAACCGCAAGTACTATAGCCAAAAAGCAGTCATTGCGTGTTCTGGTTGACCCTGATTCACCCAGGCGACTCCCTTCCAAGCTGGCCTGCCACGCAGCGAAGCGCTCCACATCGAAGATGCGCACCTTAGGCGGTCTCAAACGTGTCCACTTGGCCGAATAGCTTAGGCTTAACTACAAATGGGGTGGCCGACCAGTGAAAGCGCTCTGTGGCTTGAGTTCGCCCGCTGCGGCAATATGATGGAGGCTGCGGCCAATTTTCAGGATTAATAGCTGGGTTTGGGAAGCCTTCACCATCATATCACTCCATCCCCAAGTATCTTTCCTTCCCATCCCCACCTTTCTATTATCCTATCTGAGCTGGGGATGGAGAAAGGATAGGCATCGCTAATCTATGCTTCCCAGATGCTGGAATCTAAAGTGGTCACGGTCTGCCGGCTTTGCAGAAGGGAACTAAAAGAGAGCCAAACAATTGAGGTTTAAAAGCGCCGAATTGAAAAGTGCTGTGGGAAAGAATGGCCATCTCTTTTCTCACGCCAACCCTCCCGGTCAATCATAGACGGGTTAATGGAGGAGATGGGTCCCTTCTCGTCGTCCATTTTTGCTTCTCTCACATAGAAGCCTTGCAAATGGAGAAGCCAGACGAAGATCAGAAAGGGATATGAGGGCGAGATACACAGAAGACTCGCCCACCGGTCTGCCTCGCCATGAACCTACGTCAGCCAATGGCCTCGACCGCACTGCTTTTCCCACGACCGAGTGACCCCCTCGCAATCTCCACACGGAAGACCGGGAGGCCATGGGAGGCCAACAGGATCGCCGAAAGCAGCTCCGAAAGATTGCTGGATAAGGCCAGCCCCGAAAAGTTGATCTCAGGCATCATTTCAGGCGTGGGACAATTCCCGGAAGATGTGGGTCAGCAAAGTGGGTGATCAAACAACAGTTAAGGAATTGTTCCACATTCGCCCAACAGTATACTTACCGGGAAGGCCATCGCCCTTGCGTCTTCGTGCGTCCACGGCACGCCGAAGGTCTCCAGGTGTGCCTCGAGGAACTCGTACAACCTGTGAGCCACGAGCCGCTTGGATTTGTCCACTGGTTGCTTTTTCGTCCGTTGCCAACTGAGAAAACCTGGACCTAGGAGAGACCTTCATGGGTGAGCTCATTTGAGGGGGAATGCCCAGCGGCAAAAGGCGGCCCACAGCCCCGCAGCTTGCAGCTCACTTGTGCCGACATTGTCATTCTTAGGGAAGCCTCATGGGCAAAATGGGCTGATGTGTGAAAGGCTCATCCTTGTGGACATAGGCATAGGCATACAGGGAACCTGGGGGGTTGGGGGAACCTGGGGCCCCAGCTCCTTGGTCTGGAAGTCGTTGGCGTGGCGCATCCGCAGCAGTCGCCCACGCCATGGGCCGTCCGCCTTGCGCAGGCGCGCGCCCAACTCGGCCAGCGCGGCACCATCGGGTTCCGTCCTTGGCATCGGAGTGGCCGCGGGAAAATGTCAAAAAGGCCCTCCCCGAAAGAAGGGGAACACAAGGGCACCACTGGAGCTCTGGGAATTGGTGGTTAATGAGGGGGCTGTTTTCCATGTATGCAACCCTCTACAAGGACCAGGGGTTCAAATCCCCACCAATCCAAGCCACTAATCAGGGTTGCCGGAACTGGTGTCATGATGATGATCGCAGCTGGATGGAAAGTCATTCAGAAGTTAGTTGCGCCAGCACCATCATCGCAGGCGACACGGAAGCAGTGCCAGGCAAGAGGCATGCTTCCCAACGTCAGGCACGCCTAAGGTCATTGGGCAACGCGTCACTTTACCTGGAACGAATGCTTGCTTGGACCCAGGAGGGGAAAAGGGCACCACTGCCCCAAGTGAACCTCCAAACCTCCCAAAGACTCGTTTCCCTTCCCGCTCCGTTCGGTGGCCGAGCATCTCGGCCAGGCAGTTCATGTCCCCCACGGTGGCCTCCAGCTCACGCCTCCAAGTCCGGGTTCGCACGGCAGGAAGGCTGATGTTGCACTGCGGTCCCAGAATGGAAGACATGTTGCCCATGTTTTTGCTATATGATGGCTGGCCAAGAAGCCTCAAAGATTTCTGAACTCCACAGTAAAATCGAGAAATGTGCGAGGCTCTCGACAGAAGCATGGGACTCCTTATGACACAACATGACCACAATATTTTTTGTTTTAAGGTCTTGTGCCGCAAAATGCATCCTAGGTGTTCGTGGGTCCTCCACACAAAAGGGAAATGGAACCACATGGACATCTCCAGAGGCTGAGTGCCTCGAATTGATTGTTCAAGGAGGTGGAGGACAGCAACCCGCGATTCCAAAAGAGATGCTTCCTTGGAGGGTACCTCCCCATCCACACGGAACCTGAGGGGGCGCTGGAGGCAATTTTCGTTTTGGGGGGACCCCCTGTGGGGCCAGTCAAGCAATCACCTACCTGGTTTGGCCAATGGGGCTATACACCTCAGAGCCTCAATCTGCGTGTTGTTTGCTTTGGGAACCCTATTTAAGAACCTAACAAAGGCGTGGTCGGATCCGCCCGAACGAAAAACACGTGTGCGAACTCTCTGGAAGAAGCACCTGCCGCAAGTTGAATTTCATATAATAGGACGCTGGAGCACCTATAGCGTGCGTCACCTCTAAACACACCTCCAATGTTGGCCGATTTGAGTCTCCCCCGAGGGGTGTGTGCTTGTGGCAGTGTGATTTAGGGTTCTCTGAGTTTTGGGGGTGTGAGTATTGATCTGGATTCGCCTCTCCGCCGGATCCGTGCACAGGTTGATGAACTGTGGGGAGGCAAAGGGGCAGAAGGGCCCGATCGGCAGCACCGCAGCGCGCCTCGCACTGCGAAATCGGTGCGAAAGAAACAGGGATCCGGTAGAGGAATGCATCCAAAACCACCTGCGCCTAGGGTCCCTAATTTTGCGCGCAAAAGAGAAGCTTCCTTTTACGGAGGCGGTTTCCACTGCCTAGTGTCCACTTCCATGGAACCACCAAGGGAAACTTGGGTGTTTACTCACCACGTGTTTTTTTCGTGGCAATTCAACGGTTGTTTGCCCCTTCCCTTGAAAGTAGTGGTCGTTGCTTGCGGAAGCCCCATTTGAGGGTCTCAAATCTTCTGAGGGGTTTTCTGTTCAGCGCAAGGCTGATTCAAGCTATGGAGGCCTTGGACACAAAGGGTTACTCCGTTGCCGATTTTGACACGCACTCCTCCAAAACCCCTCTCCACCAGGTATAAAGTCCTTTGCAGGGCCTTCTGACTCTAACACTTGGAAACAGTTCCAACATGGGCCTTGATGAAAACAAGTTTGCCTCAAACACATCCGCAGACAGGGTCCATAGTCCACAAATAGTCGTTTGAAGGGAACAGCCCGGTTCGTTCAAAACGATCCGGATCACAAGTTTTGGCCCCGGAGGTGCCTGACTTTGGGCGCGCCGCCGCGGTGCGTCCTGCGTCGACCCCCGCCCAGACCAGATTCGAAGAGTCTGTGGCGACCCACCTGTCAACGAACAAGTTCCTGCGCCTTCAACCTTTAGCTTTTTGCCCGAGGTTTGTCTGCCCGACCAAGCAAATATGGGCCGTTTGGGCCGAGTTGGAAACAGGTCTTTGGAAAGGGGTCGTGACTCGTGTCTCTCTTTGCGGCTGTTGTGCTACGTGGCCGGCCCGCAAGCAGCTTGCCATGCGCGGACGATGATGCTGTTTGCCGACCTGGAACACTTCTGGATTGAAATCCTGCGGGGGTTCGCCAGCTGATGAGGCAACTGCGCTCGTCCTCTGTGATCCTGCAAAGCCAGATTTGACCACTAATTGAGATGTGCGTCCGTTTGCAGGTTGCTGTGTCCGTTTTGCGGTATGTGCTCTCGACTTGTGGCATTTTGGGTCACGCTTTTTCCGCACAAACAACAACTGGTCAGACCAAAGGTCAAGTGTTGCTTCCAATTCCTGCGCCTGTGCTGGTTTCAGTTCTGGAAGGTAGCTACGAAATTCAAGATCTGCCAACAAAGCTAGGTGGTGCCTAAATCCGCAGCTCAGCTCCCCCGAAATGCTTCACTGCTTCTACAAAATGCGTTTGTTTACTTATTATTGTGACAATGGTATGTTTCTGAAAGCCACAAACAAAAAGTGTTGATGTCACAATTGAGCAAACAATAATAAGCGACCGCTTGACAGCTTGGGTTGGAAAATCGGGTCCCCAATTGCCCCGTGAATTGCGCACTGCCCGGAACCCTTATGAATGCAGGTGGTGGATCCCGCTACGGAAATCGCCAATACGGGCTTTGGGCTTCGGGCGCCGCTCAACTGCTTTCCCCAGACAGTCCGGATGCCCACAAACGCGCAGCCAAGGACGCCCAGCAGAGCGACATGACAGCAGCGAAGCCCGGGACGCCAGGCCATGAGCAACGATGCCAAGTTCTCTGCGGGTTGCTGAAAATTCGCATTTCTTGGAACTTGAAGCCCGGCAAGACCTTTCAACAGCAGCCCCAGAAATTAACACTCCAGTCACGCGAACCAAAAGAAATCCAGGGATGGATGTCACCGTGCGAACAATTCACATGCTACAGAACAAAGAGAAACAAACACAGCGGGCCCAAGGTGGACAACCAGTGTGACCATTGTGGCTGAATTAGAACCATTCAACCTGCAGAAACACTTCAACAGGGGTTCCCCATATGTTCCCTTTAGACATCACCCCATTTAGGGGAGACTCCTTTCAAAAGGCGATGTGTTCAACCAGCAACTCTGATTTGGACCTTCACCCGAGTTTCGGGCGACATTAAGCCCTGCGGCTGTGGGGCAGCAAAGAGGAAATTCGCCCGTCCGCTAATCCACGTTTACATACCGGGGCACAATCAGTTGCCCATTGGCAATCTTCCTTTACCCGCCCCGCTGGTTCGGAATGGCCTATCTTTGACTGATAGTATGCTAGGCTTGACTGAAGGGCGCAAAAACGGACATTGGAATCCTTAAAGGACCTATGGCAAGTCGCTTCGAATCCGTTGAGGCCTTAGAGATGCTGAAAGCCATGTGGCCATTTGAGCCAAGAAATGAGCTGCCAGCCGTGCGTGCTTGGTGACAAATTGGATCCTTAGATCCTCAGTCGTAACTACTGGGGGTGTCATCCTGCAAGGGAGCCAGCGCCACGCGGCTGGACGAAGTCTTTTCCGCCGCAAACTTGGGGCCGTTGAAGAATGTTGAAGAAAACGCGAGAGGCTCGCTTGCTTGGCAAGCTGCCATGCGCGTCAGCGCCTGTTCAAAACAGCCACAAGGGGGTGCAGGGGTTTGGAAGCCAACATCTGGCTTCGGCTACAGGATTTGCTTCGGCGTGGCAGCAACAGCTTGGACTGTCGGAAAAACAAAGTCCATGTCCAAGTGCCTGATGTGTGCGCACAGTTGCCGCTGCAACATTGAATTTGCTGTCCATTTCACACTTTGCTAAGCTGGCAGCCAGATCCAGCATTGCTGGTGGTGCATTGGCTTCCACCCCTGCCACCGTCACAGGCGCAACGCTCTGCGCGTTGCCGCGTTGCCCTGACGGTGGCCTTGCCGACTCGAGCATAGCAAACAGCGGGTGCCGATTCCCTGGCTGGGGCTTGTCTGTGAAACGGATGAGTAGGTCTCGAAGCCGTCTGCCAAGGGAATTTGTACAGCTCCCCCCTTTTGGGAGATAAAGGTGTTATTCTGTGCCAGCGGTTCGCTAAGTCGGCTACTTACTCAATGCCCCGTTCAGTCTGGCGATCTCCGTGCTATGCTTCTCGGAACCAGAAAGGAGAATTGACCAAACCCAAGGTAGTATTGCATGGAAAACATATCTTCAAATTCTGCTTCATTGATTTTCATAATAGTGTTTGTCAACTTTAAAAGGTTATTGGACAGTACTTGGCCCTTGGCATTTAAGACATGGGGAAAAGCAGTTGTTGGGGGGAGGCATGTTAATGATGTCCACCCAAAGGTCCGTTTCTGAAGAACATTCATTTAAGTCTGGCGGGGTCATATAATCAAATCCCAGTTACACTGCAGTTGCGCTGGTCAACCCAAGTGACATCCTCTGCATTGTGATCTACGTACCCCGAAAATAAATTTTGAGAACCACTCCAAAATGTTCAATTTACCCGGTTGAACCCCTGGAAGTTTCATCTCAGTCCCTCTCTTCCATGCGACGTCCCGAGGCCCAAGTCCGCAACTTTCCGGTCGCGCAGTCGCGCTCACACAAAATTCGCGATGGGCACGCTGAAATATGGGCACCACAAGATACGGTCCCATTTTGGGGGTTCCCCATTTGAGACAAACCCACATACAGCTCGTTCCATGGTGGGGGATCCCAAAGGCAGTCAATGGGCTTCCGCCAACAAGATGCCTAGCATGAAACAATTGGGTCACTACTCAATGGATGGAGCCATGATGAGTCGTGACCCCATGTTCAAAAAGTCATGGACACTCCTTGTTCGACATCATAGCCGCTTTGCACCCCGACCTAACGGCCCGTTCCAGCCGTTTGATCGACGGTCGTTGGTCGAAACTCAGATCAGCGTCTTCATGCGACGCTTCAGCAGCGATGGCAACGTCGTGATGAGTTGGTTCTTCAACACCGTGAGGTCCTCCCAAGTGAGCCACAGTCAAAGCTTCCTTCTCCTGTTGGACATGAGGAATGTAGAGCTCGTCCCCTGGGCTTCGTGGCAAACTTGATGTGGCTGCCGGCTGGTTTCGGAGGGTTTCGGCTCAGAGCCCTGGGGAGAATTTAAGACCGTGAAATCCGAACCTCAAGGCCAACAAAGAGCCAATCCGAAACTTCATGGTTGCATCAAGGGTCCCGGAGCGGAAGGTCGAGATGGCCAGAAGCCCAGAAAAAGCAACGAAAGGGCGACTGAACCCCAAACCCAAAAACGGCCAGACGTGACGTCATGTGCAAAAAGGACGCTCTCGGGAAACAAATAGCTGGGCACAAAAAACAGAAGGCTGGGGGGCTTTCTGGTCAATTGATTCCAGTCACCCCTCGTCGCTGATACCACTACTTGTTTTTGAGCATGCCAGTGCTAAACTAATCCTGATCAAACTTGAGCCCCATATCCAGTACCAAAACTCTACTTAGACTACTATACAAGTCCAAACATGTTCTGCTGTTTAAATTCCCTACTCGGAAACTCCAGTGTTCAACGACTTTTGGGGCCGGAAAAGGGGGTCCGAATTTTTGGACGAGACGAGCCCCAAGACGGTACTTCGGGAGGCTAGATTGCTCTGAATGAATATGGCATCAACTCCTGGCCGATAAACCGATAAGCCGGGCGCAAGCGTCGCTTTCTTGAGGGACCCCCACTTGGGTCTCATCCTTCGTAGGTCTGTTCCAGCAGGGGCGTGCCGCCATTTGCCGGTTAGTGGTCGGGAATCGGAATGTTTCGGAAACAAGGGAATCATTCTGCATAATCTAGAATTATGCATACAACACCTGAAATAAGAAACGGATCCCGAGGAATTGACCTTCATGGATTTGCTGCACGTCAGCTCGACATGAAATAGTCAGACTTTGCCCAGTCTCCTTCACCGTGGCCGTGTTGGAGCCACGCAAGAGCAGGACCTCGTCAAGAAAGTCCTCACCGGCGCCGCCGATGGGCCGAAAATCCCGCCAGCCATGCCAGCAGTTGCCCAAAAAGGCACTAACCAACCAAAGCACAGGTCTTCATCGCCAAAACTCATGTTAAAACCAGCGGTGCAATGAAGTCACAGTCAAAACCGAGCATCAAAGGAGCCTACCCAGAACCTTGTAAAGGGCGGATCTCTGTACATGTTTTTAATCTTTTTGCTGGGACTATCCCTAAGGAATAAGATTCATCGGCTAAGTATTTAGTCGCATGCATTCATGGCTTAATTTAAAACAACATACCCCACAACCCCATGCTATCCCCGACCCCCAGTGGCCATGGGTTGAAGCCTCTTTCTGCATTTTTCAAATGGGTCCAAGAGGACTTTCCTCGAACGGCTTTTGGGGGTGCACGTTCTGCAAACACAGTAGAGCCCGCCATTTTGGTGGATTGAGAACCCCTCATTTCTGCAACAAGAGTAGAACCACCATGTTTGGGGGATTTACTTTCGGCTTCTTTTTACAACCAGGAGGGAAAAAAAAACACGGACCCCCCCCCCATTTTGATACGGCTTGGATCCGAGCAATCGGATCCAAATTTCCCGCCTGGAAGGCCATAAAGGGCTCCCCGTCGAAGATGATGTTGGGATCCTTGACCAGCGCCACCAGGTCGATGCCCACCTCGGTGATTCACACGGAACCCGTGGGGGGGACGGGGGAGGTCTTGGGGATGCTGGGGCCATAGGAACAAAATGCGCGTGTAAGTCTTTGGCCCCTTGTACTGCAAAGGAATACATGGGTCCCTGCGCGCCGAAGCATGAGCCGAGGGTGTAAAAAGTCCGTTGCCAAGTCCAGCTCAAAGTCAGGAGTCCTACAGGAAGCCCAACAATAGGCAGTCCGCATTAATCCGAAATTACACCGGGTGAAAGTAGACAGCAATAATCCTAAGTAAGTAATTCAAGGAAGGGACTAAACCAAAATGGAATGGAATTGTGTTTTCACCCAACTGTAAGTCTGAATGTTCATCCAGATTCTGGTGACACAAGCCTCAATGACAACAAGACCGCCGGCAACAAGGCAACGCGCATTATCAAATGCTGAAAACATCCGCCGGCCAACTGCCAGCCGGTTGCCACTGAACTAATTCTAAACGCCAAAACGTTTCTACTACTTGCACCTGACAAAGTTTCATCCAGATCTGGTGGCGTCTGGAACACGAATCAGGCGCACTGTGGCGCGAATTTGACATCAGCATCCTCATGTTCCTGCAATCTGGTCCGCGCTTAGAAAGGGAACATGCTAGCGCCGACCGTCTGGGGCCATCGCATCTTGCAGAACATCAATGGCCTGGTCGTTCTGCAGCAACATGATGAGCTCCTCGCTGCCAAATATAGAATGCCCACGCTTGATATTTGCCAGTATCTTGGTTTATGAGCACGGCCACTTGTGAAGTTAATTGCCTGAATTGGGGCACCGGTGTAATGTAACTTGATGAAAGCCTTCGAGAGACGAATCCTACTTACAACCACCACAGCGGCCACTGCCAATGCCAGACTCAAGCAGCCACACGCAACACCCGGCAAAACCTCAGCGCACAGGGCTCTGCTCGTCGCCCGTCCAATGCGCTCCTCCTGGCTGATAGTCCCATCATCCGAGCCCAGAGCCTCCTTCGCATAGTGAAGCTCCTCCTTGAGATTCCGCCTCCCAGGCTTCAGCTGCCCGATGGAAGGCGAGGGACGTTTCCGACCCCAAAACTTGGTTGCTGTTGACCCCCTGCAAAAAGTTTAACTTTTTGGGGGTTTAGTGGAAAACACCTTTATTTCCCAAAAAGTTAAAGTCTAAAGATCCAACCCAATAGCAGTCAAGAAAAGAACACGGAAATATACACCAGAGCCCTGCAAACGACTTCACCCGCATCCTTGCGCCGGAGCCCCGGACGCCCACCAAAAGCACCCAGGCTTGGCTGCTTGAATCACTGAGCGCCCGACACCACCCGCCCCTCTTGCTCGGCGGTCGCCACCACCCGGACCACCTCACTGGACTTGCAACGGAATTGCTGTAAGGGCCTGAACATATAGTTTGGTAAAGAAGGGGGTTGCTTCCTGGGGACCTTTAGATCAAGTTAACCGATGCTCATAAGACAATAACGCTGTGCGACTCGGTAATCCCTCGGACTGGCAAGGTAAGTATTGGATGCCCGCGGCTAGGCTACCTGAGATCTCGAGCCTCGACGAGCACGCCCACAAGAAGGTTCATGACCTTAGCGTCAAGCAACCAGCCCTTCGCTTGGTCGCAGCTGATACTGCTTCGTCACAAGGATGATGAACCCGTCAAACAGTTCACCAAATCCATTATAAAATTTATGTTCCTAGCCCCACAAACCAAACATTTGGCGGTCAAGCAAGCGCCCCTCCCGGAAACGAAGTATCAGCGGCCGCCCCTCTTTCGGTTGCTTGAACCCGACACCCTTGGGAGCCCTAGGGTCTCGCAAAACGAAGCGAGCTTCCCCGTTGGCCTCCCATCGAAAGAACACAACACCAGGTCACCGACTCAAAGACACCAGCGCAGGGTTCTCCGCATGGCCCGAAACATCCCTCCGAAAGAGAAGTCACGCCAACATGGGCAGAGGGAATTGCCCACTGTGAGACCAGTGGAAGGCCTTCCGGCCTTTCCGAAAACTCGTCCCTATTGAAAGGGCGCAAACAGGAACGCATGTCTGTATGTTTCTTGAGGGTACCATTCTTCGTGGTTACCCTAAAAGGGAACCCCAAAGAAAACCAAAAAATGTTGCTTTGACTCGACCCGTTTGAGCAATACAAGGATCCAAAAAACTAGAATGGGATTGTGGGGGATGCCCAAGGTTCTTCAGACCCAAAAACTGACCGGGTGCCGCTTTAGGCAGGCTGCTGTCAGGGGCGCGATCAACAGAAAGCAGGCCTAAGGCAGTCGACTGTTCGGCTCGTGAGCCCGCGCCAGGCCTTTTATCTTGCCAAGGCTTAGGTCGCAAAGGGATGCGGCTATTTGCCAAAATGGGCCTGGGCTTATCCCACATTTGAGGAAGTTTCGAGGCCAAAGCCCCCCCACTCCCCCAATGAACGGCCCACGAATCGCACGGTCTTCGGCCGTAAGGTGGCTTTGGGGGGAGCAACATGGGTCTTGCTTTTGGGGGATCCCGAGCTAGTGGATGTCCTGTCGGTTTCCCGCAACCCCCCCCAAAAAGAAATGCAATCAAAGGGGTACCCTCAAAAATACACACCCACATGTCTTTGGTAAGCTAGAATTGGCTCTTAATGGAAACCCGATCGGAGGAAAGTGCGGGGCAAATCTCTACAACGGAGCTCCAATGGATTCGTCCTCCTTCGTCCTTCCTCAGGCTGTGGCCTCTCCCCGCTCCTCGAACATCAGCTTAGAATGAAGGGGATCGGCTTCATGGAGCCTACTTGGCACACGCGTGGGTGTGTTTGTTTCAGGCTGCAACAGGCTTCAACCCACACTCTGACTTCCCAACAACAGGCTGGTAGGATGTTGTGTGGGTCTGATCCCGGCATCTTGAATTCCCTTTAGTCCTACAGCCCGTCGAATTGAGGTGAAAGGCGTCGTTCTATTCGCACCCGAGAAGCCGCTTCAAGCAGGGGCTCAGACTTGAGGGGACGTGACGGCCTAACATGTCACACCTGAGCTGCGGACAAACAAAGAGGCCACGATCAAGTCATCCTGGCGCGCGAAATGTGGGCAAACGACACGCCAGAGTGGCGCTCAGCAATCGGCCTCTCGTGTTGGATTTCCTAATGGCCTATCCGGGCCTGCTGATCAAATAGGCTATAAACCGTGTTTAAAAAGCAAATCACGTGAAGCTCCAACAGTACCACACCTTTAGAACCAGGCTGCAACCTCCAGGCGACCACCGCCGACCAATTTCCGACCACTCTCCGACCACCTTCCAACCACCTCCGACCACCCCCCGACCACCTCCGACCACGTCCCGACCACCTCCCGACCACCTTCCGACCACCTCCGACCAACTTCCGAGCACCTTCCAACCATCTCCGACCAACCGTCCAAGCACGCAAGGCCACACTTACGGAAACAGCCCCAAAACATGCCAATTTCGCCGTTTGGGGCTACGTTTACGGAAAAGTGGGATTGACCCTCCTAATAAACCTTTTTTGGAAATCCAACAGCCTCTCGATGCGAATTCGTTACAGTTACGCCGCCTGGAAGGAGACGCGGGCCATTTGCACCAGATCATTGTTGAAGCAGCCGTGAAAGATGAGGTTGAACATCGCCTCGCGGCTCGCGGCTCGAACCGTGGGCGGCGGGGATTTCGGTTTTTGCGAAGGGATCCCTTGGTTTTTTGCCTAGGCAAGGACGAAATGACTTAGGCAACCCTATGTTAAAACCTTGTCACCCTTCTTGTCTTTCCCCCCGAGCCTTAGCCTGGGTTTTAGTATCCTGCCGCCTCAAACCGGAGTTGGTAAGTTCAAACGGCTCAGACCTCACATGACCCAACTGCACCTGGCTTCCCGAAGCAAGTCTTCGTTCGTGCCTCTGGCAGAGAGCTGTAGTACTGGGACCCCGCCGGGGTATCCACCGCCACTTGAGTGAGCGCAATGGCAAAGACCTCGTGTCAGCGGATGGTGCACCACTGGTGCCGCTTGTCTATTTTAAAAATGGACTTCAGAAGCAGAACGGGAAGGCAAAAGCTCAAGCCCCCGCCCCTTTCCCGCGCTCCCCTCCCGGGTTCTTGGAACATAATTAAGTGGTTCTCTGGGTTTTGACGGCTTGTAGCGACCTTTCTGCAGGGATTGGAGGGGACCTGAATGCCTCTCCCTGCCGGTGCCCCGAAGGTATCAGGACTTCGCTGAGGCGGGCACATAAACGATGATCAATGCCAGGCACACCTTAGACCAACCGCGCGCGGGAGGACGGCTACAAAGCACAAAACACTCAATAAGTTTGGAGGCTACAAACCTTCTGGGGCCATCAAATTTCCACAAAGGTAGAATTGACATGAAGCTCAAACTTCAGATCCAACAAAACTTGAGTTGAGGAGCTGGACTTCAAGGGGCAGCTGCGCAAGGCCAAACCAAAACTTTAGGAATTTGGCAGTTTAGACAAGACCTTGACTGAACGCAAGCCAAAGGCCTTCAAAACCACCAACACCGGCGAAAACTGACTGCGGTCCTAACCCCCACTCCAAGCCCCAAGGGAGCCTCATTTGAACGGCCCGATTGACCACGCATGGCCTGCCACGCGAGGCGGCAGCAACCCAACCCGACTGCCGAGGAATCGGCAGTAAGCGTCACCGACCGCGTGGCAGCCCCGATGGCTCGCACCAGAATCATCACCTCAAGTCGTATCTCTCCCCACGACCTGAAGTCAACTAATTGGTTCCATCTTCCGAGAGTCTCCATGACTCTTAACAAATGGGGTCATTGCTAAACAATTGCCCCATTTTGCAATATGGAGACTCCATCTCCATGCTTGGTACCTCAATGGGAACACAAGATTAATATTTCTCTTGGGCCCAATTTAGAAGGAAGGCTTCACTTTTACAAACAAAAAACAACATCTTGATCCTTTCATCCGGTGTCCACTTTGCCCAAGTTGCCCAGGTGACGCTAGCAAAAGAGAGACACCCTGTCACCCTGGGCTGGCCATCCCATCGCAGCGTTGGTCCGTTGAAAGGAACCGCCACTGAGTGCCGGGCTTCTGGAAGGAAACCTCGGCGGGAGACCGCAGGCCGTGCGGTTGCCTTACCCATCGCCCGAACACCCAGATGCCTGGCCACGCGAATAAACAAAAACGGAATGGCCAAGTTGCCACCAGTTTTCCGGCAACGCGGCAACCGCTTGCTATCCCCATCTGACAAACACAAAGCGGCCCTCCTGATGAAAGAGAGGAACCTGCATCCTGCCAGGGGTCGCTCATAGGTGATTTCCGCATCTGCTGAGCGATGCTTAGTGGCAACACAAGAGCAATTTTGGGGGCTCACTGGAAGCAAGCAAACAACTGTCCAGCCAAAGGGACATTTTCAGAGCCGCAGGGCATGTCCGACAAGACTTGGGCCCTTTTTCACCTGAAAGGTATGGCAAAGCGCCCCCCTTGATTCCTGGAAGGCGTATATAGGTTCGTCTCAACACAAGCGGACGCCCAGAAAGAGCTGGTTTCCTCTAGCAGGGCTCCCTACATTTCCCCAGAAAAGACTCACCCCAAGAGGAAACTCACCTACACTTCATCCCAAGCACAGGCTTAGGGCAAAACACGACCCCTGTTCTTCAATTTGCTTCAGCCCCCTGGAAAAAATATATTTCCAGTATAGTGATAGATTCCCTTTTACATCCCAGAGAGGAACATACAACATATTCTTAAGCCACAGGAATGGCAGTGTTGCGTTTCCCTAAGCCACCCCATGATCCCAAGGCCTAGCCACGGAGGAGGCGTGCGATGCGCGCCACACGAGTCAGCCGGAGCAAACGCAGCATCCTTGCGCCAGTGGAGAGGAGGCGCACTGAAAAAAGTCCCGGAGAACCATTGAAGCTGCATGGAAGATCCTGAAAACTCGGTTGCTTTCCGGTTCCCTGCTAAAAGTTTAACTTTTAGTGGTTCAATGGAAAACCCACTAGTTGGCAAAAAGTCAAAGTCCTAACATCCAAGCAAAATGCAGAAACAAAAGGCATGGATACACTTCAAAAACTGGGAAACATCCAGTACAGTTTCAGGGAACATCCTCGGATTGCCTGAAACATCTTCAAAATACCAGGCCCTACCTTCTGTGGCCAACTGAATGTTGTGGTACTTGGGGCTCCTGGGGCCCCCATCTGGACCATTCAGGACCCTCCGTACAAGATTTCCGCAGGCGTTTTTGGCTCCCCAAACCAGGTGCCCAAATACTCCAGGTGTCTTGAAAAAAGGTCACTCAACATCCCCGGAATGGTTGGTTTCTTTTTGGCATCCCTTTGAGAAGCAATCCAAACGCGCACCATCGGCTCTCCTTTTGGGGACTCCATGGGACGTTTTTGGGAATCCATGTGAATTCGTGGGGTCGAAGCCCATCCCCGGAAAAGGGGGGGGGGCGCTGTGCGGCTTTCGAAAGCCTCAGAACAGAGCTGTCGATCAGCAAGAGCTCTTCGCCGGTGATGCTCATAACCTGCCCGACCAAAGTCCGATGCCACCACCCCCCAACAACCCGTGTGTGTCCCATGTCCAAAATCCAAAGTACTGTCCAAAAGGCTGGGGTTGGGGGTGATGGTGTGGGCTTGTTTGTCCAGAAAGCATTGTGAAGACACGGCGCAGATCTTGACGAATTTGTGATACAACTTGCGGAAGTTCCGGAGCTTCTTTTCGAAGACCCCCAAAAGGGCAGACTAGAGGGAAAATGATCTTCCAGGCCTCCCCCAGTCAAGTTTGATTGTGGGGCAACTGCATCCTGAGTACCTGAAGCCCAATGATCCTCAACCACGTGATTCATTCTCCATTTGGTGTGGAGCCCAAACGGCAAATGGACACCGACAGTACCTACTTTACCAAATGCATGTTCCACTATGTGTAAGGATATACTTTTATTTCCCGACCCTGTCACCTCCAGGTATTAAACTAGAATCAGCCAATGCTTAAGCAATCCGAAACCAATAGACTCTACAAACCATATGTCCTGCTTGCCTGTTGTCTCGGTCGCTACGGCCAGCTTCTCAAGCCAGCCGGACAAGCGTCCAGCACGGAACAAATCAAGTTCAGACTGGCCAAACCGAATTCATTTTCTCATCTACAATGTTACAAGTTTGAAGGTTTTTGTGCTGGCACAGGCAAGGCAGCCCAGTTGGACAGCTACGAACTCCCTTGGCCGACCCTGGCGTCGGCAAAGGGCGACCATAATTTATGGGAGCGGTTGGGCCAAAGCCATGTCCACGGCACCGTTTCCAGAAACCAAGGCCTGGTCGCCTCAAGACAAATCACACACGCGACGAGTGCTCAAATGGCGCTAGCACCGCCCAGCTTCTCAACCCGAGAGCCGAGGCACGGCAGAAACGACCCAGGTCTCGAGTATCATGAAAAAGGCCAAGAAGAAGTCGAAGACGAACCAGAAGTCCTCAAGGCCCGATTTTAGTTTACGCTCCAACTGATCCCCGCCCTTCGTCTCTGTTTGGGTGATGGGTGTTGTTTGGGGGAGCCCATTTTGGCTCCAAAAGGAAACCAAAAGGAAACTAAACTTGTTGGAGGTACCCCCATGCGGTAACCCCAATACGGCCCGAACCGGCCCAAGTCTGCCAAGCAGGTGTCAACATGGCGTAATGCAACTAAGAAACGGCCACTGAATTTCCTTTCAGAATTTGCTGGCGTTTCTGTTGAAATTGCCACCTTTGGAGGCAGTTTAAGCTTTGGCTCTGCCCTGATATGCGGGCTGTACTGCGAATGTCAGTGTGAAGCTGACGCAACCCAGCACGCCCTGCCTTGTTGCCCCGTGCAACTGGATTCCGGCGAAATTTGGCTCCAACAGCGGAAATGGGGACAAATCGTCATAAACCCGAACGCCATTCCAAAAAGGAATGTTAGAAGGGGGGGGGGTTGGGGCCAACAAAACGCGAATCATTCGGCCCGCCACACACACACACACTCCCTCACACCCTCAAGCGAGCGTTTGCAATGGCTTGTCCCCCCGAAACATGGGAAGAGCTCGTCTCCTGGCTCTTTGAGAGCTGTGTGAATCGCCCCGAGCCAGCCCACTCGCAGA